AATTAAATCAGGGCTCTTGCCCCAGAATTAGAGTACCTCTGGTGCTCAAACTATACATTCATGATCCAATGAATGATTATCAGGAAAAACCAAAAACAAACCAAGGAGGAGGAGGAGGAGGAGGAGGAGAAGCAGGAGAAGCAGCAGCAGCAGCAGCAGCAGCAGCAGCAGCAGCAGCAGCAGCAGCAGCAGCAGCAACAGCACGCACATCTGAGCCTCCACCTCATTGTGTTGTCCCCACCAAGCCACATGACAATCATGAGACTAGCACTGTTCTTTGCTTTGCTATCAAACAGAGACTTGTCTGTCCCAGTGGAGTCTCTCTTTCAAATTTCTCCTGATTAAAAACCAAACAGAACCAAAATAAAGCCCCAAGCCTCCATTCATTCGGTGTTGGAACATTACCTTTCTTCACATGGGATCCATTAAGACAAACATCTGATGTTTGCGGTTAGGCTGTGATTTCGCCACAGCCGGTAATGGTGACCAAGGCTGGGGAAAAGCCAAATGTTTCCCTGTGTAGCAATCTTAGGTTCTGTCAACACCCTTGGAGCAGAGAGAAGCCCGTTCTGGCCAACCCCACATCAATAATACTTCCTCTGAAGCTGTGAATAGAAGAGAGTTCCCGCTGCTACTACGTGAGGCCAACACCAAGAGTGGCGTGTGTGCTCATCAACGGCACGGATGCCAACTGCCTACGGCCTGCTGTCAAAAAACTGAAAACAAACATCTTCAGATGATGTTTGTTGTTTACCTGCTGAGAGAAATCGCCCAGGGCTGGCTTTCCGTAGTTAGAGACCAAAAACCCCACCATTACATATACACACATGTTTTACAGAGTGAAAACCGATTTAATAGGAGGATCATGATATTCGTAAGTTACAAAGGGTTGGGTTAAGTTTTATTTGACGGACATTCATAGAGAAGCCGCCGTGTGCTAAGCTCTGTGTGTGGCCCTGTGTAGTTTAGGAAGACCGAGGCACAGACCCTGCCTTCGGGTAGCACCACTCTACCAACTGGGAAGGTCATAAGTACTGTGGAACTGGTACCACACTGGAGCTATGAACAGGGTGCTCTGGGGAACAAAGGAGAATGTGGTTCTCTGGAGAGCAGGAAAAGCATTGAGAGAACAGGTGATATTTGAATTGCACATTACCAGGTGAATAGGAGTTTTCCAAGAAGAGAAGTGGAGAGGAAGAGAGGTCTTGGCTGAGGAAACATTATGTGCAAACAATGTGAAAGTGCGCAGTGCCTGCCGTTAATGGTGAGGTCTGGTGAGGCTGGAGTACAAAGTTTTAGGAAGTGGAAGCAAAGCGTCTTGAGGTTAGGTTGTAAATCATCTTGAATGTCATGCTAAAGACATTCTTTAAGTTCTGTCTAGGAAGCCAGCAAGATTTTTTAAGTTGGTAATGGTAAACTCAGGCCAGTGTTTTCAAAAGAATACCCTGGTGTCAGCATAGAGGATTATTTTAAGAGAGAACTGTTTTAAAAGCTAGTGCAAGCAGTGACGAGAGCCTTAACTAAAGCAGCAGCACTGGGAATTAAGAGAAAAAGACAGACGGTTTTTATGATAAAAGGAGGTTTTGAGGCTACTTTTAGAAAAATCACTCTGTTGCCTTGAGGAAGAAAGACTTAGAAGCACGGTGACTACTGAGTAGCCTACAGACAAGGCAAAAGATGCTGAAGCCTGAATGAAGAGAGCAGCAGAGAGGGAAACAGATTTGAGAAATGCCCTCGAATATCCCAGGGGAAAATAATGAGCAGTGTAATGACATGTAAAATATATATAACATAATAATGAGGGTCTGTTAGCGCAGGGAAGTGGTCCCCAGACTGTGGTCTCCTGACCAGCAGCATCAGCATCACCTGGGAGCTTGTTACGATATGCAAATTTTTATCCCCACCCCACACCACCCCCACCATTGAATCAGAAACTCTAGGACTGTGGCCCAGCAATCTGCATTTTAACAAACCTTCCTGGTGTTTCTGATGGGAGCCAAAGTTTGAGAACCACTAGCCTAGGGGGCATAAAAGAGATGGAGATATCAAAAGTAAGTCAGGTATAATAAGGGTTAAGAGGCCAGACTTTGAAGAAAGATAAGCCTGGGTTCAAATATTTGCTCAGCCTCTTACCAGCTACGTGATAAGCTGTAAGACAATCTTCAACAAGTTACTTAAAATCTTTGAGCTTTAATTTCCTCATCTCCTAAGTGGAGGTAACATACTATTTGCAAGAATTTAATAAAATAATTCATTGTAAAGCATTCAGTCCACTGACAGACATATATAGTAAGAGGTCACTGTTAACAGTTTTAATAAGAACTACACGAAGAGCACTAGCTGTGATGACATTTCCTATTAAACACATAAAATCTGAGGTGACCACAGTACAACCAGTGACAGAATCCAGGAGAAGGCTGAAGATGTGTATGTGAACCCCAGAGGGCAACTGAAGCTGAGGACCTGTATGAGAAGGACACAAAATACCGGCACTAGCTGCCACCAGGTGAGTGGTCTCGGTTATCCGAAAAGAGCACAGGAGATGAGAAGAGAACAGGACACCAACACTGAAGAGTGGGACAAAGACGAAGTCAGCTTGGGACAAGAGGAGAACCAGGAGCCAGCGAGGTCACAGAGGCCACGAGAGGAGTGTCAAGAGGAGGTCAAGAGTCTCAAATGTTTCTAAGTTAAAAAAAGATAGGTTGAAGATAAAGAAAGGATAGATAATTAGATAGATAGATAGATACATACAGACATATACACACACACATACACACACATATACACACACACACATACAGGGAGCAGGCCATTGCACTGGGCAGTTATGAAGGGACTGGAGACTTCTGAGAAGGTATTCCTTCCTGAATGTGGAAGCAGAAGCCTGACATAGGCTGAAAAGAGAAATCGAGGTGAGGACAAAAACTGATCTCACACAATTCCACTGTGGTGGAAAGAATAAAACCGGGGCAGCAACATCGGTGGAGGTAAGAACATGAACATTATCTTTAAGGAAACAGGATAATCACAGCATAGCAGGCTGAAGGAAGGAGCCAGTGATGGAGAAGAAATTAAAGGCATGAAGGAGCCAGTGATGGAGAAGAAATCAAAGGCATGAGCAAGTGTGAAGCGAGCAAGCAAGGAAGAAAAATGGATGGGAGCAGGTAGAACCTGCAGCTTTGAAAAGGAGCAAGAGCAATTTTTCTCTGAAGCTGGAAAAGATGAGTAAAGTTATAGCTTGGGGAAGGGGGAGGAAGATGAGGAAAAGAGGAAGGTGATGGTCCTCTATTTTTTTTTTTCAGGGAAAAGGCAGATGAATTTAGCTTCCAAGAGTGAAGCAGATTCATGGCAGGGTTGAGGACCTGAGGAGAGGGCAAAGGTTTAGAACATCTGTTATAAGGACTGAAAAAAGGGGAGCAAAATCAGAATGAGAGGGACACGGAAGCAGCACTCAGGGTCAGCACTGAGTTAGGAAAGCACGGATTTGTTGTGGTGCTAAGTACAATCAGGGGTGATCTGCTCCAACAGTGCAAGTGAACAGAGTAAACGGGTAATAACGAGGAGGCTGGCGATGATGTTCACAAAATAACAACATCAACAACTAGCCTGTGCCAGTAACTCAGGAACTCATCCCGAGCCTTGAGTTTGCAGTCCTGAGTGTGCACTGATTAAGTGAATGACCAGCATTGTCAGACTTCCTAGGCTCACATCCTAGCTCTTCTGTCTCAAGCTATGTGACCTTGGGAAAGTTCCTCAACCTCTCTATCCCAATTCTGTTATTTTTAAAATGGGCAAAAAATAGTAGTACCTACTTTAAAGGGTTGTTTGACAATTAAATCAGTTATTTCATGTAGAATATTTATAATAGTGCTGGACACACAATAAGCAGTGGTTTTGTGTTAGTTATACTGACCTCTACCGAGTAGAGGCAGCGCTCAGGATGACAGAAGTTCATCAAGTTAATAAATACCCAAATTCTCAGCACATAACCAAGAGTGAAATCATCCTTGAGAGATTCCAATATAACCAGAGCACTAGCAAAAGATCAAAAACACTCTCAGCCACCAACCGTACCTATGACAGACATCCTTTTTCTGAAATTGTTGAAATCCAAGAAGGCAAGCAATTGATAAGTAACTAGTGTTCCCAATTCTTCTATTGTGATTGTCTCTGGAGTCCGAGACTTAAAAATGAACCCCAAATTTTTTGCAGCAGTCACTAGAGCACCTTCATCAGGTGATTGAACTTGGTAAATCAGTTGTCCTAAAAGGAAAAGAAACAAGTGTATTAAATAATATACACTTTTTTTTCAAAAATGAAAAGAAACAAATGTACTAATACTGAGAGTAACATTCATAGAATGCCGATTATGAGCTCCAGCTCATTCTATAACAACCAGCCCAAGTGTCAGCTCTAGAAATCAGATCTTTTCTACTCACCAACCAGCTGACCAGGCGCCCATCCTGTGGGATACCCCAGGACACCAAGCACACCACCACTGGAACCTGTATCATCTTAGAGGAAAAGACTCATTCCTGAGTCCGCCTCCCTACGATGCTGAAAGTTTCTTAGGTCAGAGACCACACCTTTGTATTTTCAGTGACTAGAGATGAGCCATGAAAGTTCCACAAACTAAAATACTTACTATATTTTAAGTTACATAATCCTCATGGCAAGCCTTTTTATTATTAAAATTACTACAGGCATACCTCGGAGATATTGCAGGTTGGTTCCAGACCAGTGCAATAAAACAAACATCACAATAAAGCGAGTCACACGAATTTTTTGGTTCCCCTGTGCATACAAAAGTTATGTTTACACTATACTGTAGTCTATTACATGTGCAATAAATAGCGTTATATATAAGAATGCACATACCTTGAATTAAAAATAATGTATTAAAAAAGTTAATCATTATCTGAGCCTTCAGTGGGTCATAACCTTTTTGTAGTAGTACCATCAAAGATCACTGATCACAGATCACCATAACAAATACAATAATAATGAAAAAGTTTGCAGTAGGATAAGAACTACCAAAATGTGACATAGAGACACAAAGTAATCAAATGCTGTCGGAAAAATGGTGCTAATAGACTTTCTCCATGCAGGGTTGGCACAAACTTTCAATCTGTAAAAATCACAGTGTCTGTGAATTACAAGGAAGTGAAGCACAATAAAACAAGGTCTGCCTGTATTTCCATTTTATACTAGTGAAACCGATGACTAGAAACGTTATGCGATTTTTGCAAGATCACACAGCCAGAGTGACAGAGCAGATATTCCAAATCCACTTTAGTCTCTACTAATGACCATTTTATAACACATAGGAGAAATCCCTTCAAATGTAAGGAGTCAACCCAGGATGTTAATTACTGATACCTGGTACTGCGTATGTGTTGGAGTGGAAATAAGAAGGGAGAAGAGAGGGAGAGAATGAAGCAAGTGGGGGAAAAAACATAAAAATACACTTAAAAAACAGCATGAATAAAGTAAGCCCAATAAAGTAAAATGATACTATCTCTGTATATAAAAACAAATTAGAAAAAGTAGGCAGAGCTAGATCCGTATTTACTGATTTACAGTAACAGCCAAGATAAATTGTTAAGAAAACTGGCTGCATATTAATCCATATGCTATGATTCCTTTTCATTAAAAACAAGTAAACCACCTATCTATATACATATATGCATATATATGTACTATATGTATAAAATAAATATATGATCAAGTGGAAAGTGTGAAATGTGCAATATCAAATGTTAACATTGATTACTCCTGTAAAGGTGGAATTAAAGTTCAGGAAAGAAATTATTAGCTTTGCCTTTTATAAATCTTTGTATTGTATGGTTTCCCTTTCTACAGTAAGCATAAATTAATTTTTGAAATTGCAAAAAGAAAAAAAATTAAAGCAATCACTTGATCTACCTACGAAATTATGTGATAACCTGTACTTCTGGCAACACAGTGAACTGAGTGCCAAGACCAATCATTCCTGCTACAACCAACTACAGAGTCTGTAAACAGAAAACATTTTAATATTTTTGAATGCACTGATGATTGGCAGGTAAGCAGTAACTGTTCAGGTCAAAGACTGAGAAAAAAATACAGATGGAATAAAGGAAGGGCACTTCCTAAATCAAAAGAACTCCATCACTGGTTTCCGGTCTCTCAGAGCTTTGGTTAGAAAAGACAAAGACCAGGGAAGAAGTCTAATGAGAGATCACCTCTTAAAACTGAGCCTCTAAAAAGGATGCTCTCTCAGTATAAAGGTAAATTGGAAATCAGTGCCCTGTTTAAGAGTGCCTATTTATAAGAGAAAAAAAATCTGTCTATTTATAAGAGAAAAAAAAATCTGCTGAAAATTTATGACCAAAGACTGACTCTCATGTATATTTGCATCCTAAACTCACTATATCTGGGTGACCTGAGAAAAATCAAACTGAAATTTCAGTTTAATGTTTCTGTATTAAAACACTGACTGACTACAGCAAATCCAAATCCTTTCTTGTAGAAACCAGCCTTCACCTCAGGACCCAAAGAATTTCTACAAAGTTCAAAAAAAAATGGCCATCTCACAGTTGAAAAATCATCAAAACCACAATAAACAAGATATAATTAGAACCAACAGAAGGAAAAGAGAGAATAATATCTGCAAAAAGTTTAGATATTGGAATTATCAGAAATACAACACCCAAATATTTAACGGATCTCCAGAAATAAAAGAGAGGGTATGAAATTAAACAAAAAATTAAAAAGAATTAAAGATCTTGTATTAATCAAGAATAGATTATACACTACTGAAGAAAGTATTGGTGTACGGGGGAAAATGGAGAAAATTCTAGAATATACCTCAGAGAGACAAAGAAATGGAAAAATGAGAGAATTAATAAAAGACATAGAGAACAGAGTGAAAATACTTCACACTGAAGACCTAATATGAGAGGGAAAATGAGTCAAAGGCAAAACTCAAAGAAATGCATGGCTGAAGAAACTCCAGAAGTGATAAGACAGCACACTATAGATGTCAGAATCTCAATGAATCCTAAGCAATACAAATATTTTTAAAATTCACACTTATACTAAAAACATGAAAGCAGAAGAAATCTCGAAAGCTGCCAGGGAGACAGGACTGATTTCCTTCAAGCCACTGTGCGACTGACAGCTGCCCATGCAGCAGCAGAAGCAGCAGCCAGAATACAGTGGACTATCTTTAGTGTGCTGAGAAAATTGTCACCTTGGGTATCTAAACACAGCAAAAACATTCAAGGATGAGGATGAGGGGAAGGTATAGCTCAAGTGGTAGAGCACATACTTAGCATACACAAGGTCCTGGGTTTAAGCCCCAGTATCGCCTCTAAAAATAAAATAAGTAAACCTAACTACCTCCCCCCAGCAAAAAAAAAAAATTTTTTTTAAAGAGTAAAGATGAAATAAAGTTGTTTTCAAAGTTTTTGAGAGTTCACCAACAGTCGGCTTTCCTTAAAGGGTATTCTAAAAATTACACTTTTGGTCAACAGAAGATCAGAGATTGAAAAAACATTAATCACAGAAATGAGTAACTATATGAATAAATCCAAGCAAACTGACTCTAAAAACCATAAAAATAACATCTTGTGGGACTAAAAAAGAAAACACATGATAAAAATGCTATATAAGTCATGAAAGGTTTAGTATTGAAGGGTTTTAAGGTCTTTGTTTTGTTCAAAAAGGCTTAGGTTTTGTTAAGTTAATTATGCTAAAATTTCTAGGCTAAACACTCATTTGTATAAAAGAATACAAATAAGGGTATATTATTTCCAAAGCAGTAGAAATAAAAATGAACTAAATCCATAAGAAGAAAAGAAGAGACAAAGACACAAAAGATGGGGTAAATACAAAATACAAAATAAGATGGCAAAAATAAATCTAAGTATGTCAGTAAGTATATACGTAGAATCTAAATACATAGATAATCAATAAGGGTAAACTGACTAAATGTTCCATTTAACATTTAGTTTATTTGGGTCAAATTAGATATTCTTTTTAAATGTCAAAAATTATGCCACTTATAAGAGATTTGTCTAGAACATAAAGAAAAAGATTGGCAGGAAAGAGTGCAAAAAGCTAAACAATGCAAGTACTAACAAAAGGAAAACATCTCTATGTTATTACCAGACAAAACAAACTTTAAGGCAAAAATATTACTAGAGATAAAGAGGATCACTATATATTGACAGATGTTTTAATTTAATGATTTGTCTAAACTTGTATCTAACTAATAACATGATCATAAAACATATAAAGCAAACACTGGCAAAACAAAATAGAAACAGACAAACATACCATTACAGTGCATTTAACTATGCTATACTAGACTATAATGATGTAAACATACTCTCATTCATTGAGAAATCAAGTAGTTAAAATAATCCAGAGAGGTAGAAGATTGAACAATACAATCAACAAACAGTACCTAATAGATATATTTAGAACCCAGAACTCAATAACTATACAATGCACATTCATTTCAAGCACACATGAAACATTTATGGAAATTGCATACGTATCAAGCCATAAAGCAAACCTCAACAGATTTTTAAAAATCGAGGTAATAAGGCAATAAGAAAAAAATTCTAAATTTTTTATCTCTTTAATTGCTGTCCATTTAAATAGGAAAAAAAAAAAATCCAGTTGAAGCCTTTGTACTTTCCACTTTCCTGCTTCTAAAATTTCATCCTTCCACTTCCGCAAATAACTTCTACAGGAAACAAACAGCACACACTTAAAATAAAAGCAGCACCCTTAACTATAAATTATATGATCATGTAGTTTTAAGTCCATTAGATTTGTGTTCTGTTCTTTTTCATAACTAATATCTATATAAGAAAAGTTTATATTTTCCAATGTACTTGAACATACATGGATTTAAGCTATCTATCCTATAATGAGAGCTTTAAAAGGAGAAACCTTATTTGGTGACGTAATCCTTCACTTAGAATCTCAAAGCAAGAAACAGAAATAGTTGTAAGGATACACACATTTACCTCTGTTCACTTCACAATACCTCTATATGGCAGAAGAGATATTAGCCAATATCCACTAGAATAGATAAAATTTAGTGGTAATACTACATGTTGGTGAAAACGTGAAGGTACTAGACCTCTCACACACTGACGGCAGGAATACAAAATGATACTCTGTTTTTGGAAAATAGTTGGGCAGTTTCTTGTAAAGTTAAACATATCTATGCTATAATCAGGCAATTTCCAGTCCTAAGTGTTTACCAAAAACAAATTTGTTACATATTTTTTAAAGACATAAAAATATTTATGGCAGCTTTATTCATAACCCAAAGCTGGAAACAACCCAAATGTCTGAACAGAAGACTGAGAAAAAAAAAAGTGGTATTCATATTCATACAATGGAATACTCTCAAAAAATACCATGGATGAAGAAAAAAGCATTACTGTGTGAAAGAAGCCAGACACAAAAGAATATATATTGTATGATTCACACAAAAGAATACATATTACATGATTCCATTTATATGAAGTGTAAGAACTGGCAAAACTCATCTTTGATGATAGAAATCAGGGCAGTGGTTGGTTGGGCAGGGGTTGGTGATATGGGTTGGAGAGGAACATGAGGAATCTTTCTGGAATGACGAAAAAGATTTACACCTTGATTGGGATGGTGGCTCGTGTAGGGGTATATAACGTGTATGGTCAAAATTCATCAAACAATACACTTAAGATCAGTGTGTCTTAATGCATTTAATTATGTTACAATACGGAATAATTTTAAATGACACTAGAAAAGAAGAATGGGTACTATCAGTAAACTAGAAATTTGAGAAATGCCTAAAAGACAAAATGAAGAAACAAAAAAAAAAAAGAAAGACAGCTCAAAGCATTTGTAAAAGAAAATTAATATAGAGAATTACAAATCTCTCCCCAGAGAATCTCCAAACTCAGTCAACAAATGGCAACAGCAGAGGTGGTCTTGGAGGTGTGGGGCACCATTAACAAAATTAGCTGAAGAATCCCACTGAGCACTCCCAGACCACCTGGGCTCCTCCCTCTGCCAGCTTATTCTGAACAACAGGTTTTAGTGACCGATTCCCCCAGGATGAAACCTTGAAAGTGTACAGTCCACCTAAGGAAACCTCTAAGATGTGAGTGCTGAGGCTGGAGACCAAAGCTGAAAATAGCCAGAAGTAACTTCAGAATTCCACAAGGATAAGAGAAATAAAGTAATGAGAGAAAGAAACTGATGATACTGATATTTTCTTCCAGGCCACACCTTAAGTATATCTTTCTCTCAAATGGGAGTATGGGAGTTCTGACACAGACCCCTAGCACTAGATTTGAAAAAGTGAGATAGTTAAGCCCAGGTATCACATGAATTCCAGGAGTGAGGAAGCCCACACCCAGGAGACAAGCTCTGTACTGTGCCTCTCCCCCACAGTCTAGGGAGACAGGCTACGTAAACTGGAACCTACATTCACCAAGAAGCAAACAGGGATTCTCTAGCGCAAATAAGAACAGGCAACCACAAACCATCAAACATTTGAAAACAACATGAGAGTTAAGACACAGGACTCAAAAAATAACATTCCATAAAATGAAACATAATAGAGGAAAAACAGAAAATTTTAAATTAAGAAGAATTAATATCCTCAAATGAAAATATTAAGAAATATTAAGAAAATTAAAAATTAACATTTAATATTTTATTAAACATTAAGAAATATCAATATTAAAATAAAAACAGATTACTATTAAAATAAAGGTTTATAAATGAAATAAACTCAATGGCAGAGATAAAAGAAATTTACTTAATGGTATTGTGATATCCTCAGATGAAAATAAAAGAAACCATTATTGACATTAGTATTATAACAATCAGTTTAAGCAATAAACATAATTATGTGAATTCTCATAGCAATTAAAGTCAGAGAAATAATTTCGTCCAACATCATCAAAGGCAAAGCTATGGCTTAAATGTAGTCTCAACCAAAAAAAAAAAAAAAAAAAAAAACCAAAGAAGAAGAAAAAAAGACAGAGACAGCAAGAAAACATATATTCAAGTGTATGTCTGCACTTACATATACACACATACATTTATATCACACACACACACATATGGTCTATAGTCAACATATATTTTGCTTTTGAGTTGAAATTACTTTTACTCCAGGTGGCAGCAGAAAGAAATGACTTGTAAATGGAATAGACTGGACTAGGTTGGAGCAAGAAGCTGATTCACTATACCGTTAACTGCCTCATTGCCTCAATGTTAAAGTGGCCCAGCCAATTTTGTTCTAGTCTATGAACCCAGTGCTCTAAACACCCAACTTAGTACTATGAGGACTTGTTCATAGTAGGGACTACATACAAGCATTCTATCAATGTAAATCCATCCCCATTACTGGGAAAATTCATTCTAAGCGTATGTCTGAGGGCCTTCCGCATCTATTAGATGTACACGTTAATGATGACAGCTATGTGACTCAACAGTGTTTCTCTGTTTGTCTCTGGCTACCAGGAAGCTCACAGTCAAATACCGTGCTCTATCATAAAAAAATATATTTCATTCCCTTTAAATGGCATATCTGGGCCCTCATCTTTTCATTGTTCCTATTTCTTTTTCTTTTCCTTTAAGTCTCTCCATATCTTTTGGAAAACACTCAGGATATAAAGAAATACAAAGAAAAGCTAGTGATGGGTAACCCTTTATGCAATCCTGGACTTTGAATTAGAAAGTCCTTCCAATTTCAAAAATTTTCAATAAAAATAGCAGTCCTAATTAAAAACAAACAAACAAACAAAAAAAAAAAACAGAAAAAACAAGGCTCATCACTCAGGCACACTTTGCACTTACCTGCACTATTTTCCTCTGACATTACAGTGTGGCAGAGAGCAAGTAACCTAAGGAATTCATGCACTTTGGGATCACCCAGATTAATGGATTCCAGCAGATGGTGGTCAAAGAATTCAAACTTTCTATTGGCTTGAGGGTTGACTGAGAAATCCACAGCCTTTTTCTGTAGAACAACAACAGAACTGTAGACCTCATTTCAACAAGAATCTTTTAAAATTCCAAACACTTCCTCTAAGTATTTTTAGCGCTTCTATGATTTTTCAGCCTTGAAAGTCTGGCACTAAAATGGCTTTCTATTTCTTCATTACTGTTAAATATTATCTTATTTCAGAGCCATGTACCCAGAGCGTTAAACCTTCCAAAAGCATACAGGGAAGAAAAATATCTAGTGGCTGTGCAGATCCTCAAATGTTTATTGCAACTCCAAAATACAAAGAAGTCCTGAAAACTGGAAGTTTTTACCAAAACCTATTTGATGGCAAAACTTGACTTAAACTCATTTTGGCAGCAATATCTGCCCTGAAGTGGTATGTGCCTAACTACAGACGTTTTAAAATCTACTTAGGGTGAATTAATATTTTCTGATATAAAATTAATGTGTTCAATTACAGAGTACTTTTTTGGCTCTCAATGGAGATACTGCATAATATAATGACAGAATTAAAATCAGAATCTTGAGATATTTGTCCTAACATGTTCACTGCAGCATTATTTACAATAGCCATGAGGCAGAAATAACATAAATGTCCATTTACAGATGAACAGATAAAGAATATGTGGTATATACATACAACAGAATGTTATTCAGACATTAAAAAAAAAAAGAAATCCTGTCCCTTTACAGTATAACATAAATGAACCTGGAGGGCACTATGCTAAGTGAAATAAACCAGTCACAAAAGAATAAATATTGCATGATTCCATTTATAGGAGGTATCTAAAGTAATAAAATTCATGGAAACAGAGTGTCAAATGGTAGTTTCCCAGGACTAGAAGAATGGGGAAGTGGGGAATTTCAGTTCAATGATTATTACAGAGCTCCAGACATGCAAGGTGTAAAAGTTCTACTGATCTCCTGCACAACACTGTGCCCAATGTTGAACAATAGTTTATGGTCCACTTAAAAGTTTGTTGAGTTAAAAAAAAAAAAACAAGATGAATAAAGGACAGAACAAAATAGTAGAAGATAATTCAATAGTAAATAAGATCTCTGTTAAGTCACTGACTTCCAAAAAGCACTAAATGTACTTCTAAAAGTTTATTACCCAAAGCATTAAACCTGTGATAATGTCTGTGCAAAAAGTTAACAGGAAAATACTTTTGATATATACTTTGTCTTAGAGACTGCAGAATAATACTTTATATATAATACTTATATATCCAAGTATATGAGAAGACCTGTATAAAAGAAACTCCATTAGTTGTGTTTATTCCAGAATCATAGAGACTTACTTAATCACAGATTGTTTTGTTCGTGTAATAAAATTTGAAAACAACTGCACTTTGGTGGTGGTGGTGGGGGAGATCAACTCACTAGTGAGGAGTAAAATGCCCCCTGGCCTTAGACGTCCCTAAGACCCTCCAGAGAAGAAACTGACTCAAAGAGATTATAGCCTGTCAAACGTCATTCAGTATAGTCAGCAAATAGTTCTGAACAGATATTTCTTATGAACCCTTCTTGAAACTGGAGGATACACTTCAGCCAAATAAAAGACAACTGGAAAAACAGTAGGAAAGGGAGTAGTTAATGGCATGCACCAAATCTCTTTAACTGAAGAACTAAATATAAAAGAAGCAGATTAGGATGGCAAAACAAAATGCATATACTATGTACCTTGCCTACGTAGCAAAGACTACTAAAAAACTGGGAAAAGCTTCTGATTTCCTCATTTTAGTATTTGAAGGTTAGAAGATGTAATTTAAAGATTCAAATCAACTAAGAAATTTATCTATCTATATATATTTAAGATAAAGAAGAATCATTAATAAATACAGTAGGAAAATACAAGGGAAAGAAGGAGAAATATAATAATTTTACCACTGTTCATGTTAGAAAATTGATAGACACTGTCTTCTGAAAAAAATGTTAAGAGTATTATATAAACTCTTGAAAGTATACAACAGAGAAATAATAAAATACTTTCCTAAACAATACGAGAGAAGCACAGAGTCCCTATAAAGAATTATTAAAAATTATAAAAATAAAGGAAGACAGACCTGAAATACCAAAACAGAGCTAAGATAAGATATACCCCAATGTAGATGGCCCAAACTCACTTATTAAAAAACCAGTTGCAAAGCAAAATCTAACCACACACCATACATAAGAGACACACCTAAAACAGTTACTCAGGAACACTGAAAATAAAAGGTGGGCAACGCAAATCAAAAGAAACCAGGAGTCATGATCTTATATCAAGTAAGGCTGAATTCAGGACAAGAAGAATTAAATGAGTCAAAGAACAGCAGCACATTCATAACAAAAATGTAACCACTGTGAACATGAATATACCCCAAAATAGCATCAAAACACATAAAACAATTATTTCAGGCTCTAGGGGAAGGAATAGCTCACTGGTAGAGCACATGCTTAGCAGGCATGATAGTCCTGGGTTCACTCCCCAGTTCTCCCTCCAAACACAAATAAACAAGTGAACGTAACTACCTCCCCCCAAAATAATAAACAAACAGGCTCTACAGGAGCTCGAAAGAGACAGAAATTCAGAACAGTTTAACCTCTTGAATTAAGCAGAGAATATAAATAAAACATAAATAATGAAATAGAAGACCTAAGTAATATAATTAATAAGGTAGAACTAAATGACATATAGCTAGTTTTATAACTTGAAACCAGACTTTAATAAGCTTTCTTTTTAAGGCCCCTGGAACACTGACAACAATTGATCAGATTAAGCCACAAAGAAAACCCCAATAAATTCCAAAAAGTAGAAATAACACAAATCTACTCTTTTACTAAAAGTACAATAAAAGTAGAGGGGGAAAGGCCCAACCACTTGGAAATTTTAAAGCTCTTCCTTAAAAAGTCATGGTTCAATGTGATATTCAAATTGATACGACAAAAATAAAGATACTTTAATATACTACAGGCCAAAATCCAGGTGATAAAACTAAAGGAGCATTCAGAGGAAAATAACCTCTGAACATTGCATTAAAAAAAGAAAGAATAAAAATAAGTAAGTTAAGCATCCAAGTATGAAGTTAGAAAAAGAATAAAAAAGAAACTTAAGGAATAAGGAAAGAAAGCATTAATAAAGACAAAAGCAGAGCTTATTAGTTAAAACACAGGAAAAAATATATAAAGAATAAATAAGTCCAAAAGCTGTACTTTTTGTAGGAGAAAGGGGCAACTCTCTAACAAAATCAAGACAGGGAAGGAAAAAGATGAACAAATATAAGAAATGTTAAAAAAAAAAATAGCCACAGATAAAGAGGAAATTAAAAGAATCATGAGACTTCATTGCTAAACTTCAAGGCCCAGATCATTTTGACATTATATATTCTGTTTCACAGGATATGAAAAAAAGGAACAATTATTCTCTTTCTAAAGCAAATATAACATTGGTAGCATAACAAATATCACCTCTAAAAAGAACACTGAGGACTAATATGTCTCACAAATCTCAATGCACATATTTAAATAAAGCATTAGCAAACAGAATCTAGCAGCATGTTGGAAAAACTGTTCAACATGACAAGTCACGTTTATTCTCAGAAACTGTGGATGCATGATAATCCAATAGAAAAGTGGGTAAAAATGAAATAAAATATTAAAAATATAACAAGATGTTCAATTTCATCATAATAAGAGAAATTAAAATTAGAACCATATTGATATACCACTTTTTAGACAGTCTTGTCAAAGATCAAAAACTCTTGATAAAACCTATTTTGGTAAGGGTTGGGGAAAGCAGGCACTCTTGTACACTGCCTGTGACAGGGTTAACTGGTGTAAATTCTAAAGAGGACAATTTGGCAATATTTATCAAATTATAAATGCTAATACCAATAGATAAACAAGTTTATACTGTATAGCACAGGGAACTATATTCTATATCTTATAGTAGCTTACAGTGAAAGAGAATGTGAAAAAGAATATATGTATGTTCATGTATGACTGAAGCATTGTGCTGTACACAAGAAACTGACACAACACTTTAAACTGACTAGACTTCAATCAATCAATCAGTCAATAAAAGCTCATACCTTTTGATTTAGCAATTCCATTTCTAGAAATGGAACTTGTTAGAGAGCATAAAATAACGCTATTATTTTTGCTGCATCTTCTTTACCAGCAAAATCTTGGAAGTATTCTGAATGTCCATTCCTGTCTCCTCACGTAAATTATGGAACATCAGTATAAAAGAATACTATTCAGCTATAAAAAGAATAAGGGAGTACTTTTTTTTTCACTAATCTTGGAAGATCTTAATCATTGCTGAGGAAGAAAGTTCAGAATAATATTATTAGTTCACTACCACCTATGTAAGAAATGGAGAAATGTGCTTGCTTGTATATAATAAATATCTCTAAAAGAAAAAAAAAAGAACAGAGGGAACTGTGGTTGGGGAACCTAAATGAAAAGGAATTCTGAACCAGATGAATCTACCTTTTTTGTGTGTGTGTGTTACATGTTAAGTATCTCATCTGGTCATAGTGGCAATCAGGCATCTAGGAACTCAACATTTTTAAAAAGCATGTACAATTTGAAATTAAAAGTAAGAATGAAACTTTATCACCTCCAGACCTTAGTCATATCTGTCTTCTGACCCATGTCATCGTGTACTTCACCTGCAAAACAAAAATTGAGATTTAAAAATAAATGAAATTGAAACAAAATTTAGACAAAGAAATACACTTATTTATAAAGAACCATTACTAGATGACATTACGATTTCAAATCTAGACTTTAGGAGTGTTTTCAAACTGTAACCCTAGACATGGCGATTAACACAGAGATACCTATGTTTGCCACAGATAGAACTAAAATGCAGTGCACATTAAAACAAAGTAAGATCACAATTGTGTTTTTCTGTAAATTTTAATATTATGTCGTTAAATTATGTATGATGCTTGCAAGAGGCAAACTTTTGTTTTCCACTTTATCCCCCATTGTTGAGGAATCCAAAATGATATCCAAGACAGACCAGTTCTCTTCAATGTTAGAGCTTGGTGAGGACGTCTTTGTCTGTCTTGGTTTGGGTCAGATACATCTATGTAATATCAAGGTCAAATTAGCATGTAAAGATAAAATAATGTCAGTGCCTTCTGTACTCAGAGAACACAGCCACCTATGTGCCAAACATTTAATAACAACTATTCTTAGTAAAAAGCCAATATGTGCTTATTACAGGTATACTCAAAAATACAGGATGTTTATAGCAGAAAATAAAAATTACTAATAGACCTACCACTCAGAGATAACCGGTATTTATAGTTTTTTCATACTGATTGTGTGTGTACACATACATTCATCATACTGTTCATAAATTTCTGGTTCCTACTGTTTTTTAACCAACATGTGTGAATTTCTCCTGTCATTAAAAGTTCTTTGTGAATCTAATTTTAAATGGTTGTATAATAGCTCATGCAGCATAATTTATTTTAGCTTTCCCCTACCTGGAAGCTTTTAAATTTTTTCTAACTTTTGCTTGGCATTTGAAGGATTAATACTATTTGCCAGGACCATGTTTCTTGCAATGGTAGTAAGAGTTATCTGTATCAATCCTGTGGCAGGCACTTATATTATCACTAATATTTATAACAAACTTGCAAGAGGGAGATTTTCATTCCTGTGTTGTGGATGAGGGAACTGAAAAACAGAACTCAAAGTGACATGACTCAACTAAAGCTAAAAAAGTCAGTCCACTAGGTTTTTTAACTCAGGTCTCTCTCTCTTTTCACTAACCAATACTATAGCTCCCCAAAAGCACTTGATAAACAGTTATTTGTTGTTTTCCTGGGTCTCAGGTCTAAATCCAGAAAGCAGTGAGGATGCTGTGTGAGAGGAGTCCCTGAATTAGGGAACGAGCGCAGCCTAGCACCTGGAATTTAAATCCAAACTCACCATGGTTATTTTCCAGTCATTACCCCCATCCGCTAACTGTGATAAATAGTAAAAACAAAACTGTCTTTACGTAAAATGGTCTCCCCATGGAGAGCCCTTTTATAAGGCTGGTGATAGAAGTGAAGAAAAACTGAAGTCTAAGAAAATAGTTCTGAGAAAAAAATAGAAGCTTTACATAAATCAGAGTAGAGTATCAAATTTTTCCAAGGCCTAGATCTACAGTATAAATAAGGCCAATTGTATGGGAGAAAAAAAGAGATCCTGGAACATTCTGTGAGTGCTTTAGTAAGAACATGCTTTAATGACATAATAAATGCATTATAAATTAGAATGGCATATATAAATTAAGGGTCTAAAGGGGTTACTTAAATCTTTCAGTTACGTTCCTGAGTTTCATGAGGGAAATTGCAAGCTATCAGGATTTATACATATGGAGAGTTGCAAAGATCTTGGGATATATATTCCTTGTGAAAATCAAGGGACTTCTCTAAAAATACCCCTGTGCCAAACATACCTACGAATAAATCTCAGTCCATGTGTCTGACAATTTCCTTAGGGTTATTTTCTAGAAGTTATTATTATTATTATTATTATTATTATTATCATTATTATATTAAGTACCATGGAAAGAGAATCCAAAAGGTTTACAAAATTCAAAATATCTTCAATAAGCTAACTAAAATTTTCCCATTCAAACTGCTCTTTAGGTTGTACTTTAAGAAAGCCTCTGAAAAATAATACCAAAAGAAGAGAATTTTGTAAGGTTCTATTTTATTTGCCAGTCTTTATGAACAGTGATATAAGAAATGCACAGTGTAACTGAGGGCTTGTGTAAGTCCAAGTTGAAAATCATCTGGAACACTACCAGAGAAGGGGGCAGGGTGCGGGCAGAGGAAAGGTGAGGAAACCATGGAGACCACGAGTTATGGGACAGGGTAGCAGAGGAAGCTCATAAGGCAGGAGAGTATGAAAATCAACTTCTTGTATTTCTTAGCTTTGTTCAAAGTCAAATCTTACTTTAAAATATTTGTCAATGTGTGAAGTTTCACATCAGGAGACAAAGGTTTCTCTCTCTTGGATTTCCCTGACTTCCTGAGATTTCTGTGTTGAGAAAGTGGACACTCTAGTCCTGTGGAGTGAGACAGGGAGGCCAACAGAACCCAACAGGAGCCTTTCGGGGAGCTTCTGTGCTCTCAGCAGAAGGAACTGTCTGCTAACTGGCCAAAGTCGGACTGACAAGGGTCACATGTAACTAGAACACTTGAAAATACAATACAGAGCAAGTATCCTGACAAAAGTATACAAACAGGAACTGGATATTGAAGAACTAGCTTGTCCAACCACTCAAAGTAGCCCTATACAGTGTGAATTCTCCGGAATGAACTCTAAATTCTTACAAACACAGGCACTAACATCAATTCTAGATCCATTAGGAAGCAAGTATTAAATACTGCTTTTACTGAGATAAATCAGGGCACGAAGAACTTGTCCTCCTAAGATATGGGTCTATTAAGCACCATAGAGCAGGTCACACAGCTGGAGCTCCAAAAGGAACCCTGGACAGTATTACATCCAAGTCCCATCCCCACCCACGAATGGCAACAAATCCAAAGTTTCATCTGAATTATTCAACACTCATCCAACAAATATCTGTGCAGTATTTATTATGTACCAAGCACTATGTTAGATACTGGGGGTGCCCATATTCATAAGAAAGCCAGTGAGGGTTTTAGAGTTTTTCATTTAAAAATTCATAGAGTTGCTTACTTGTTTAAGGACTGTTGACAATATCAAGACAAAGGAACTGTTTCCCTTACCGTAAATTCTCCCATTGATGGAACATTTTTTAAAAGTCATGATGTTTTGAGTGAGGGTGCCCGTTTTGTCAGAAAAAATATATTCTATCTGGCCCAGTTCCTCATTGAGTGTGGTTGTGCGAGCTTCAGCAGGTGTTGCCTTCTCAGAGTAATACATCTTCCGATCCCAGTTTATAAAATAACTGTGTCCCAGACGAATTACTTCCACACTGTCATCCATTCAAGTGGAAAAAATAAAGAGAATTACTCCATCAATTTCAGAACATACAGAGATTTGCCAGAGTAAGAAGTCTGCCAACAACTTCAGAGTTTAGAAAAAAATGTGGATACTCTGTCCCTGGATCCTAGTGACCTTCAGAGGCATCTCAGTAGAGTCTGTTCATACACCATCCTGTCATTTCCTTGTAGCACTCTGAAACAGTGGGCTGGCTTTGCAGAAAGCCTTAGGGAATGTTCCAGGTTCTCTACTTAGAGACAAGGCCCAGATTTCTTGTGTAGCATATTGTTGTTTGATGTGGCTTCACTTTGACAGGAGGCAGAAAGAAGTATCTCTGTGAAGCACTAAGCAAACCATAGCAGATACTGAGTAAAAACCCAGTGTGTTGTCATATTACTTTGCCCATTTACCAGGAAAAGAGTGTCTCATAATCCAGTGGTGATTTATGACTTTCCAACTCTAGAAGTCAAATTTGAACTCTGAAGCCAAAGGTATGAACTTTTTCAGTCTTTCTCATACAGAAGGCCAAATCAATTTCCAAAATGGTTATAACAGCGTTAAGTATCTACCATTAGATTACTGAAAATTATCTTTTAGTCTCGCCAAGTCAAATGGCATCTCACTACTGTTTACTGCACTTCTTTTCATCAGTGAGTTGAACATTTTTTTTCAAATTTTATTGACCAGTTGTATTTCTTCTTTGAACCAACTAATTGCATTACCTGCCTATTTCAAGTTTCCTATTCTAGTATTAGTGTGTTTCTTACTGATTAGTAAGAATTATATACATATATAGATAAAACATATATATAATGCCAATATGTTACCCAGTTTATCATTCATCTTTTAATTTTGTTTCCACTATTTTTGATAGAAAGACATTATCTTTTTAATTGATCAAATTTATCAAGTTTATAGTTTCTGTTTATAGTCTGAGATTTGCTTAGATAGGACTTCCCTATGCCAAAAATACATAGAGAGAGAGATATCTATATTTTCTTCTAGTTCTTTATTGATTTTACACATTTAATTCTTTATCACAATTAGAATTTTCTGAAGTATGATGTGCATATGAGACACTAATTTCAACTTTTACAAAAAAAAGCTATTCATCACCGTTTGTTGAACAATGAATCCTTTCCACTATTGTGTTGAGATGCTCCCACGTCACATATAAATTATTTCTTCACTAAAATCTGTTTTAGGAATTTCAGTTTTGTTCTTTCATGTGTCACTTAATGCATCTCATTTTTATTATTATAGCTTTATAAAATTTTTAATACCTGGAAAGAGGTAAGAAAACCTTTATTCTTTTCTTTTGCCAAAATTCTTAGTTATAATCACTCATTTATTCTTTCTGATAGAATCGATGTATTCATCTGAATAAACTTAAGAATCAATGTATCAGCTTTCTCATAAAACTTATTTTGGGAATTTTTATTAAGGTTATATTAAACTCTTAATTATTTGAAAAGAATAGATATTGTATAATACTTAATCACAGTTTCAAGGAAGAGGATAAATCTCTCCAGGAATTCAATTTTGAAAAAAAAAAAATACTTGTTGGTAAAGGGTTTTAGTTTAATTCTGATTCGCTTGCTTTTCACATAGGTCCACACTATAGCTTGACAGATTTCTTCCTGTATATTATATCTTTATTGATGGGATGATTTTTAATTGCTATTGGTTTAAAGGAAAGTATTTATAATACTAAAATTTTTCTAGTGTTAAAAAAGTGACTATGTCATAAAATCCAACATGTCACTGAACTATCTTACTAAAAGTTTTACAGAATTTGGGGGGGTTGGTTTCTAGGTTCATAATCACATAGTCTCTGCTCTTCCTAATAGATTCATTTCAGTTTCAGTTTCATGTCTCCCATTTTATTCATTGGTATTTTAGTTGCACGTCTTAGTACGTTAACAAGGACATCCAGAATAGCGTAAGATAGTAATGATAAAGCAGGGACCCAGAGCTTATTTCCAATATTAATGGGAATTAAGCCTTGCTTTTCTCATCTGAAAAACTGACAAAGCAGACAGCAGCCTGATCATGCAACCTTTGAACATTTGTTTTCTTGAAGACAAAAGACGACACCCAAGTCCTTTCTGGGCATTAAAGTTGATGCTTCCAGTTGTCCAGACATGACCTACCTACATTTCCCTCCCCCAAAATGGTATGGTGTCAGTTCACTGTCTAACTATTTAAATGGTAACACTTTTACTCACCCAAACTAAAAATCACACTATGACTCTACAGAATCCTAAGATAGAAAAGTAAGATAGAAAAGTCACACTCTGCATATATTTATTTATGTATTTTCCTGTTATGATTACTCCTCATATCGCCTGCATCCCCCTCCCTCATAAGTTCCTTGCTGGCTGTTCTAGTTCATTCACCCAGAAGCCATGAGCACTCATTGTGGACCAGGCATGGTGCCTCACCTATCACAGGCAGCCAGTCAATGTTGAATGAGTGAATCCTGACCCTCTATTCCGTAGTTTCACCAATAAGGACTTAAGACTTAGAGAGGTTAAGCAACTAGCCCAAGGTCACGCAAGTAATTAACCACAGAACCAAGACTAGAAGTCAGGCATGTATAAAGTCAGTGCAGCCCCGGCCTTAAGAATGCCATAAAAATAGCACTGTGCAGGTTAACTGTGCCATCACGTGACGCTTTCATTTACCTGAAAGTAAAATGTCTCTCTCAAAATCAAAGCAAAATGAATGGAGGACAGAACCTGATCTTTCTGTGTCGCAGTATAAGCCAATGGAAGTATTCTAAATTAATTTGAATTCTTTGACCTTAAAACAGTCTGTAGAGAGGAAGGGTATCATTTTTGTTTGGGAAAAGAGGATTTAGGAGAATCACAGTGGAACACTCAGCCCTTTGGTTTACAATAGCAGGAAAAGGAGACAAATGTTCAGAGTTAACATAATCAAGCAGCCTAAAATGCTCAAAGAACTGGGCTTATGATTCCATCCATTTTGTTGCAAAACAAGCAACATGGAAACAAGTTCCTATTGCTTTGAAAAAACACTCAAAAACTAATTTCTTGGGAGTACAATAGCCACATTTCTTAAAATGATGTATTACAAAATTGTAGCTGGGTATGTTTTCACACTGCAGGCAAACTGACAGCAGAGAAATACCCTACCAAAATCATCATCCTGTGCTCAAGTGGAATTATTAACCATTCAAAGTAAATTCTGCACTTTTATCCTCCAATGACATGGCACTAGTTTATTCCTTGTACCTATTCAGAGGTCTAATGGGAGCTCCGGTAGAAGAACTTCATCCCTCCCAACAGAAACACCTGGGAGTTCTGTTTTTCTAGACCTTAGTCTTAGCAACTGGAAATTCTCTAGAATGCTTTTTTCCCTCAGGTTGAGATCAGAATCACTGTTCTAATTTGGTGAGAGAAAAAAAAAAAAACCTCACATTTATTTTCATCAATACGATGCCTTACCAACAGGTAGAAAATTCTAGCCCCTTTGTTTTTCTCTTCTTGTCTTCGCTCATTAATAAATCATGCACAGCTTAGGCACAGAGTGAAAACACTGTGCCAAGTGTCTGAATATTTGGGTTTGGATCTTCGTTCTGTCCCTAACCAGCTCCGCAATCCTGAGCAAATCATCTCATTTATAGAAGTTCAGTAATAACTACTTTGAAAGACTGTTGAGAGACCTAAATGAGATAAAGCATGTGGAAGCACTTTGTGTAAAATATAAAATGCTGTCTAGAGGCAAGGTGATATTATTTGGAACAAAAAGGATCTCAGAAGTCAATTATTCTAATCTTTTTATTTTGCATAAAGCACGTATTTCATAGGCAAACGAAGGCACAGAGAAGCCAAGTGGTTTCTTCAAGGTCACCCAGCTATTAGTAGCAGTGCCAAGATTAGAACTTGGGTTTGGACTGTTCCAGACAAGTTTTCTTCCTGCCACTGAAGGGGATACAATGGAAGGAAAAGGAATGCTAACCTGGCAATCTAGCCTTGGTCTTGAAAAAAAAAATTTTTTTTTCAATCATTAAATGAAAAATGTACTTCAAAGAAGAGTATATACCGAGTATATTCCTTTGTGAGGACACATGAAATTGCATATGTGCAGATGGTAAGCCACGATGAGCATTAGTTGTTCATTTCGACATAAAAGGAAAGCTATAAAAGCTGACCATAGTTCCTCTGGCAAAGAGCAGGGTTTACTATAGACTTTGTAACTGGATACAAGCATGAGAGGTCCTCAGAATCAAAGATGAGGTGGTAAGATACATTTTAAGTAGAGTCCGCTCTAACCACAGCTCCAGAAGGCCCAAAGCAATTTGTGGTGTTGTGGCCACATGCCACTACTTCAACTCAATTTCCCACAACTTGACATTTCAGTTTCCTGACCACTCTGCAAAACAAGGGTGGATTTTGTGCATTAAACTTCCCTTGCCTCATCATAGTCAGGATTTTGGAAAGAGAGAAAAAGAAACTCGTAAAAATTAGTGGGGATTTAGGGCTGGTGATTTTGTGTATCGTTAAAAATACTGGTGATGAGGAACATCTACAACCAAGTCTCATCTTGGCTCCAATGTCTTTGGGGCTGTCTGACTCAGTATTAGTGGGATTAGTATCAAGATTTTCTCAAGTACAGATTCTAGGGCCAACTTCTAAGCCTTATCAAATCGATAGATAGATAGATAGATAGACAGATAGATAGATAGATAGATAGAGATAGATAGGTATGTATAGATATAGATATACACACCCACATATAAGAGGGAGGGCAGGTGTGGATGGATGGACGGACGGACGGACAGACAGATAGATGGACACATAGATAGATTGGCAGATAGACCATTTTACCTCTAGTTGGTACGACCAAATCTAGAAATCACAGATCAAGCCATAGAGGGAGCTAGAAACCAAACATCTTCAACAATGGATAAGCACCACCAACTATATTTCAACTCCTTCACATACTCAATGATAATTACTAATACAAACGGGAAAAATTAATATTCATTAAGCTCTTACAATGTGTCAGGCATCTGTCTAAGAGTTTTACAGGTCTGTTTACTCCTCATATAATCTTGTTAAGTGGAACTATTAATGAGGACACTGAGGCCCCAGAAGGGAAGTAACTTGCCCAAGGTTATGGAGCTGGTAAGTGGTAGAAGAAGGTTTGAATCCAGGTCTTTGGAGCCAGACTAGCAGCAGGGAGGCATCCATCTCAACAGATCTCCCCAAATATTCTTCTGTTTCTTTCCCAATGTCAACCCAATTCCAACAGATCAGGCTGCCTGAGATTATATTGTAGTCCATGTATTCCAAAGAAAAACATTCCCGAGAAACCAAATCAAATCAAGAAGAAAATAAGACACACTTATCGTAATTTGAAAATGTGAAAGTTAAACAGATTAAACTGCTCAGTTGCCTCATTTGTAACAGATGTAGCAGATCATAAGCAGTGAGAGGGAGACATCTGCCTCACTGTTGTAATTTTAAAGCACACGGAAATGATTACACAGAACAAAGGCTTCTGACAAAATGGCTTCACCAAAGAATAAACTCTCATCTTACCTCACATATAATGAAATGGGTACAACTGTATTGAGAATAATAATATACGACCAGAATGTTAAGAATCCCGAGAACACGGAGTTCTTCTCTCCTTCATTCCCAAAGAGGAAAGTTCTGAATTGGTTCCCAACTTGATTCTCCCAGATTGAATTTCCTATCGCAAGAATAATTCCTAAGCATATCAGAAACCCAAAAATCTGAAATGAGAATAGAGGTTTGGTTAACTTAAATCCAAAACTAGTCACATCAATGCAATCTGATTATATTCCTAACTCCAAGAAACTGTCACTTGAACAGAAAGTTATGCAAAGGTCTTCTTACTTACTAATCACCCAAGTAGCAGGTAATATATTTATGCTGGAAACTTGGCTAAATATTTTACATACATTTTCTCACTTAAGTCTCTCACTGACTCTGTGAGATAGGAACAAACATTATTCACACTTTACAGGCCAAGAACAAAATAAAACAGAAGCCCACACAGATTATGTAACTTGTCCACGGCCACAAAGCTAGTAACTTTACTAACTTCACATCCTCTACTTGTGAAGAGTGCATATATGTAATTGGCTTACGTACAGAAGACCACATGTCCTGCTTTGCCCTGGTCAGCCTGATTTATATCTGTTATCCAGGTATACCATTAATAGCATTCCCTCTTTCACCTTCAAAAGTGTTCTGTTTGAATCATAAATAATATGGTAACCCAAGTATAAAAGCAAAAGGAGGAAAACATCATGAATAAAGAACTGTCTCAGACTAGTTAAGTCTCTTGACTACAGATCTAACTGTGCAATGCTTACTTCAAGTCAACAAGAAAGATGAGGATTAATTAAAATACTGTATGACAGATACTTTATTTTTGAGATAAAAAAAAAAGAAGCAACTTGAAAACTGTTAGCCAATTCTTACATTGTGACTGGTATCAGTACTAGCAAGGCAGACATTTGGGAGGGATAGCAACTAGGAAGACAAAAGGTCAGTGCCTTTTAAGTAGGCTTGGAAAGGAAGGACACAGAGTCAGTGAACACATAACAGCTACACCAAACACAATGTTCTGGGGACTTTGCTGAGTGTCACACTGTGTTAGGAGCGGAGACCAGCCACTGATGAGAGAGGAGTGGGGCTAGAAAACAGGAACGTATTTCTCTTCTATTTCTTTTTTCCTTCAAGAAAGAATATTCAGACACTCCAGGACTGACTACTTCTTAATTCAGTTCATGAACAAAATAGGCACGTAAGAAGACAAAGTTGGGGAACATCTGATTTAAAGTATATTAGAAAGCCGTGTATTAGAGAAAAGTAAAATTGTGAATCCCCCAAATCCTATCAGTTTGGTACCTGCCTCACAGTATTCTCTTTTCTTTCAATGGCTAATACTACAAAATAACTGCAGTGAGTTACTTTAACAGCATTAAAGGCCCTAATTTAGCGTGGACTCCACTTTTAATTCCCCAATGGATCATTCAGTTTCCTAATATGAAAAGCTGGGACAGTCTCTGCTTCACAATGAGCAATTAATTTGACTCTGTGGTGGATGCACACACAATCGCCATGCAAGACCTCCAAGTGGGTTCAAGGCAACTTAAACCGGGAATTCTAGGAGGAGGGCACAGGCTCCTTCCGGGCATGTCCCTTGGCCTCATGGACTCTGCTGTGCTGGGGGAGGAAAGCCCAGGTCTAAGAGTAACACTGAAAGTAAAACAGTCTGGCCAATATTCTGTTCCCCAAAAAGAGTTCATTTCCTTCTTTCCTTACTCAGAGTCTGGCTATTACATATCAGGTAAGCAAATATAGATTGAGCTCAGATTCTTTACAATGGCTTTTAAGTCTGTAGTAGGGCAGGTGGGGAAACATGGTTCAAAGTCACTGTCCTTTTATTTCAAAGTTAGTGTTTTCAAACTTAACCCTAACATAAGCAGGCAAAGCAACATTACAAAAAAAAAGTCAGATAATCAGATCCATAGCATGAGGCAGTGCAAGAGTAACTGATAAAGGGGTGAGATGCAAAGAAGACTTGACTGTACTGGGTTCACCAGTGATAGAGAAAATCATCCCCAAAAAATCAGAGAAGGATAAAAAAAAAAATTCAGAGCAAAGAGACAGCCATGGGCTAGGAGGTTCAGAAGCCTTCATGAAGGAGCTGAACAGGGACTTGGGCTTCACAGGATTCGTATGCAGAAAGAGCTACATAATCTTCAGGGATCAGTGCAAAATAAAAATGCAAGACTTCTTGTTCATAAATTATTAAGAGTTTTTCTACACACTGACAGCAGATCTATAAGCCAAGTGTGAGGCCTTTCTGTGTATGACCTCACACATCCACACCCGGGAAGTCAGTTCTGTGAGCTATGGAGATGTGCATAAACATAAGATGACAAAGAGAACAAACTACTTTAAATATCATGTATTGTTTTTTAAAAACAAATCTTTGGCAATATGGAGAACCTGCAAGACCATGAAGCCCTCCAGAAGAACTAACCTCTCATGAGAAACTCTACCAATGGTTGAGAAACCATAATCCAGGAAGGAGAAGGCAACGTAACTGGACCCTAAATGTAAAATTCCCAAATACAAATTCCACAAGAAGAATGTAGACTTCTGAAAGAATTCCCAGCACAATATAAGAAATATATTAGTCTGACAATGACTAATGATATTGCCCAATTTTGTTAGTAACTTACCCATAGTACTAGAGTATTCATCAATCTATCAATGCTTGTCCTCTTAAACTTTGTCTTACCACTGTTCTGCATTAGTTTAGTGTCAGGACCTGCAAAAAAAAAAAAGAAATAACAACTTGAAATGATTAGATGATATTATTATCATCATCATTCATCATTTTATTATTATTAACTCCTACTTATATCAAATGTTCCTGAAAGGGAAATACTGTGGTTGTTTTTGTCAAAATAATTTGACTTTTATTAAGAGTAGGGATTATTTTAAGTTGTTTATGATTCTCAACTGGTGGCTTAATAACAACCCTGGAAACACAGGAAAATTAGTCTTCTTAAAACTGGATAAATCCAGGCAGAACTTGTAATTAAAAGGTTTAAGAAAAGCTATTTTTCAAAAATCTGTAAATGGGTGTGCTTACAGTTTGAAGCAATTAAAGATAAAGAAGTCAATCAAATTGAGGAATAACTTGGAAATGACTAAAGGAACGTAGTAATGAGCACAATTCAAAACACTAAGGTCAAAAATGGAAAGTTAGGACAAGAAATCAAATTCTGGCTCTGTTTTCCAAAAAGATGTGAAGTGCCTTTAATGGAGGAACTAGAATAACTCCAAACAATACAAGAGCAAATAATTTAAACCTTCATTGTGTACTGCACACTGTGGATAAAATATGCATTTTTGTAAGGGCAAGAATTGTCTTAAATCCTGTGTTAGATTTATTTCAAGTAATTCTCTTAAGTCTCATGTTTCATATTTACTAAGTGCCTTCTTCAAGAAATTCTAAAAATACTATTAAGTGCTTAAGAAATAGATTATTAGACGATTAACAAAGGAGACTGTCGGATTATACTGCTAAGGAAATTCCTGGTGGACAAGGAAGACACTCAATAAAACCAATTACATTATAATTATAATTTTAATTATATCTGACTTCCCTAGTGTTCCTTCCCCATATTGTCTTCCCACAGTTATGACCAATCCATGTAGCCACTTAATACTTGAGGAGAGGGGAAAGGAAAGAAGGGAGGCACACAGGGAATTACACACCATTTGAGATGTCAGGAAGAATGAGCATATCCTTAAAAGATTCCTTTACTTAGAAAATAAACTGGAGCAAAGACTGGGATCTCATAATAATTCACTGCTTTGAGTTGGAAATTGTACCCCAGTGTCCTGTTCCCAGCCACTGCTGTGTGAAGGAAACCACCCACATTTTCTCAGAATTATTTATTAAAATCATATGGACATTAAGATTGGGAAGTATTTCTTTGAAAAGATCACAAAGAGCAAACTGAGTTTGTGATTTCTAAAAGCTGAAATATTAGCTCACAGCGAAAAAAATGTGACAATGAATATATGTATGTTTGTGTATAACTGAAAAATTGTGCTCTACACTTGAATTTGACACATTGTAAAATGACTATAACTCAATCAAAAAAGTTAAAAAAAAAGAAACCTAACAGTCTGAACACAAAAAATAAAATAAAATAAAATAAAATAAAAGCTTAAATACTGACAGACCAGTTTTGTGCTAAAAATGTACACTTCTTAGGCATGCATATACACAGAGACTAGCAAAGAATCCACTTAGTGGGTTCTGAAGCATTTATTTAACTATAACAGATGGATATACACATCTCTCCTGCCCTTCACAGTCACAGATCTTGAAAGAATTTTCTATACTCATCAGCCTGTTTCCTCATCTCCCACTCCTTTCTCAACCTAGTTTCTGGGTCAATCACTCCACCAAAACAGATCTCGTATTACCATCAACATCCTCCATACCTTCTTTGACCTCTCAGCAGACCTTGACACTGTTGACTATTCCATCCTTTTGAAACACACTCTTCCCTTTTGCTTCAGTTGTTCGATATTCTGCTTTTCCTCCAACCTCTTTGGTATCTTGTCTGTCATGATGCTCACTCCTATCTACCCAGCCATTAAATACTGGAACTTCTTAAGAAACAGGCATAGGCCATCTTCTCTTCTTTCTCAGTCTACCCTCCCTGAGCAATCTCATCTAAGACGACAGCTCCAATTAACACCTATAGGCCAAATGTATATATCCAGCTCAGACTGCTTCTCTGATCTCTAAACTCAGATATTTAAGTCCATGTATTTTGTTGCCTATATGGTAACTTCACCTGAATCTTTCTAAGGCCCCTCAAGAGGCCCCTGTCAAGCCCAACTTGTCATCTTCCTCCGGGGTTCCTTATCTCAGGGAATGACACAACCATTCATCCAGTTGCGAAAGGCGGGAGAAACCTAAGAGTCTGGTCTATCTCCATGACTCCCATCCTAATCCAAAGTACCTTCAACTCAAAAAGCCTAACAACTTTGTTTCCCCACATCTACTGTGCCACCACTCCAATCACACACGTCTTCCCGGACACTATTTACCAACTTTACATAAACACTGTAGGGAAGAGTGAACCTTTCAAATTTAACACACATACACACACCACCTTTTTGAAAAATTTGCAATGCCTTCCCAAAGTTCTTAGGATAAAGACCAAAATTCTGGATACAGACCACAAGGTCCTGCGTGGTCCGGCCCTTATCCTTGTCTCTGGTCACCTATCCATTTCTATCCTCCATGCTCTCCATGCTCTATACTGGCCTTCTTAAGTCTTTTTACCTCCTCATCCTCAACTCTGCCAAAGGGCCTTTGCCTATGATGTGCCTTTTAGCTAACTTGTTCTTTCCCTCCATATTCCTCCACTAAATACTATTATGAATCCATGTTCTTTTTCTTCAGAGCACTGCTCAGTTTGAGATTATTTACTCATTACTACAATTATTTGAGATTAATGTCTCTCTCCTACTCAAAACTCATGAGTGAGGAGACTGCACCTGTGTTTTTTTCTTCACATGCTTCACTGCAAATAAGTAAGCAGTATAGTGCCTGCCACATAGTAGGTGCTCAATAAATAATGAATTAATTTATTAAATACCTGCGATGTTTTAGGCAATGTACATATACGCTTTTCACCTATTATCTCACTAATGCTTAAAATAAGCCAAAAAAATTAGGTACTATTATCCTAGTTCACTAATAATGAAACTGAGGCTTAAAGAATTTAAATAACTTGCCTGAGATTTTTTTTTATCTAGTAAGCATCAGAGCAAAAATTAGAACCCAGATATGTCTAATCTAAAGCTCTTGCTTTTAACCACAATTTTTAAAATATGAAGTAGTCCACCAACTCATTAATTCACTGACTCATTCAGTCAATGTATATTTAGGACCATGACTCATTCAGAGTCAAATAGGAAATAGATGAAACATTGAAAAAGGATAATTAGAGAAAGGTTTATTTATAAAGGGACTCTTTATAAAAATGTAGGTGGAGGTATAAGAGAAGTAAAAGGTTAATGCAGTAACTAAGGACTTAGTAGCAATCAAGATGTTTCTCCATTTACACCAGAAGGGAGAAATGAGGGGAAGAGGTGGTTGCTAGACTCTAAAAGAGAGAGCTGTGTAAAGTTTGCAGCCTTTAGAGAAAGAGTGACTTTATGTTGAGGGACCCAGCCAGCCTGTAGTGATGACACAGGGAGGTAATCTGGGGGAATAAATACTTGATCTCTGTCTTCTTCCTTAAATCTCTTCCCAGGGATCCCTAATGATAGAACCAAAGGTCAAGGAAACCTACTAATGTAAACCATACAAGTCAGCCTTCCAGGGCAGAGAGATGAGTGGGAAATGGTGTGAACAGATCTGGAGGGACAAATGGAAGACACCCAGCACAAAAACCTACTAGGCACCAAGATGGTGTTGACTCCTTAAATGAATAAGACTTCTATCCTCAAAAATGGGACTTTCTCCCCTCTTAAGATAAAGGAAAAGCCATGACCAGGAAGGCATGGTCTGGCTATTAATAGATATTAAACCCTCATAAATTATACATTGGTGAAGTAAACCATGCTTGTATCAACTATACTCCTTGCACAATCCTTAATGGCAGGTACAACTAGAGTAATAATACAGAAAGAATGGTTAATAATTTGTTTCGGATAACTGCCGTAGGATCTAGGTGTTCACCTGGAACTAGTTCCCCACATTGGATGTCTCAAGACTTAGGGGTTCTGAGACACTCGTTTGTTCAATTCTGACATTGACAAAACAGTTATTCCTCTGCCTGACATTATCTAATTTAAGCTTTCTATTGACATCCATGCCTAGACTAAAGCCAACACAGGCATGCTCTGCCTCATGAACATGCCAGTGAACATCCAGGTCACATCACAAAAGAGGCTGATTTCCCACCTCTCCCTGCCGGGATCCAAGAGCAGTATGTCTTCCCAACTCTCAGACTACGGAGCAGACAGCGCACTCTGAACTGATGCCGAAAGAAGACAGAAGCAGGGAAGGAAGGAAAACAGCATTTGTCAAGCATCCTCTTCCACATGCATCGCCTCACTGAGCCTTTACGATGGCTCTCAAAGGTACTCATTCTCACCCCCAAGTTAACAGCAGAGAATGAAAGCTTAGGAAGTTTAAGTAATCAAGGTTTAACATGCCACAGCTGGTAAACAAATCTGAATCCAGATCTGTCCAATCCAAATTCTGTAAACTTTGTTATATTTTTTTGGAGAGAAACCCATTCAACCTACCACTCCACTTCTTTCCTACGTAGAGGCATTTCCCCACAGAGCCAACATTACAAAGAAACACTTGGGCCCCGAGTGGCTCCCAGCAGCTGTCCTAGCACAACATGCCATAGCTGGACTGTAATCCTGAATTGGTCATTCCACACAAGATCACACAAATGCAAACAAAAATTTGGGCTACAGCCCATTCCTAGGATGATGTACTCCTATTCCTCTAATGACAGGGAGCAAACCAAGAGGGCCCTTTCCATCAGAGGACCTCTAAGAAACCTCCTCTTCATTAAACGGTAAGATTAAAGTGGGAAGGTAAAGATGGGTCAATGTGTAAGTCTAGCACTCTGTTTCTCAATACAGGGAAGACGCAGATAAGGAAATACATGATCATAGGTTTATTTCCCTGACTAAAGAATAAAAGCATCCGATGAAAACATTACAAAGCCAGATTCATCCCCAGACAAAAGGACATATACTGCCTCATTTCTAGGGATTTCCCAAGTCCTTACTGTGGCAATGCCCCAAGCAGCAAGAGCCTGGCTAACACCCACAGCTGAGAGTATTTAAGAGGAACTGGGAGGATTCTTCTAGATTTGGAACATTTTTGAATCTTTAATGGACATTTCGTTGTGTTGAGGGAAGTCAGTTAAGAAAAAACATTCCAATTTTGATTACACATATAGTCAATGGGCCCAAAATACATCTGAATTTGGTGTCACAATAAACAGGATTTTAAAAAATCAAGAGCTGGCAGTTGAAGCCATGAGTACAATTTGGGAGGCTTTACGAAATGGTGCTACTGTAAGCTTCCTTGGCAGGAGAGTGCCATCGTGGGCCCTTGGAGATAAAGTAGAGCTGGAAACATGGCCAGCAGGAAAGAGACAACAGCCCTCCCCACCTCCGGCATGCACAGTCTTTCCAGGACCCATTGTCCTATTGACAAATAGGAGAAGAAGCTCTGAAGTACAAACAGAAATGACTGCAGATCATCTCTAAGAAGGCTTTTCCCAAAGGATTGCTTGGCCTTTGCAAACCACAAAATTAACAGCAGATCCAGGGGCTTGCTTTCATGCTCGTCCTCCACTTTATAGGCAGGTTGATTAACACAATGATGGGGATGACTGAGGTGGGGTTAGAGAAAGAGAAATTAAACAGTAGGTATCTAGCATCCACTGAATAACTAAGACTCAAGCACTCTTAAGAATAAGTTTGTGATGTCAGTGGTTCCTCACACAGTGGGGCCACACAGACTGTTTCCAGAGGAGCACTGTCTTCCCCTGGTGCCTGTAAGCCACAGTCAACCCACTGTGGCACCTCGCATGCCACAAAAGCATAGTGCCCATCCAACCTGGAGAGCCGCAGACTGTACCCACGCAGGTCTCAGGAGGGGCTCTCCCATAACCGACCCTGGGGAGTCAGCTGTACCTGCAAAAATAACCATTCCAAAGCACCAGCTGGTGTTTCTCAGGACACAGCCTCTCAGGATTATCTTCTCATTGTTGAGGGAGTGCTTGCTGTCCTTCCAAGAGAGGACTCCTGTGAATTTATCTAATTTGTTGTTAGGTGCCTCACAGACAATGATCCCTGTAAAATACAAAAAACAAACATCTTTACGTCTCCCCTTGAACTCTTTCGAAGCCCAGAGTACTGTCAGCACCTGACTTCTAACATGCAGTACATTTCCTTCTCTCCCAGACAGCGCAGTGCAACACATACACATATAGATACATATCCCAGGTTGTGCTAGGAAAAATCATCCAGGGGATATAAGGATGGAAATCCATCAGGTGTTCTGAGACTTAATTTCCTGCACTGTCCAAATAAGAACAGAAACCTCAGGAGCCATGGGGTATTTTATCCTTTAAAATAAATCACTCATCTCTACTTTAGGTTTAAAAAAAAATGATTTTTGAAAAGATAAAGCAGAGATGATCCTAAAAGTTCTTCTTATTTCATCTCTTTTTACTGAATGTAACTTTCACACAGGTTGAAATGGCATACTTCCAGTTTCACAAGCAAGGCTAATCGGGTTTTGCTAGGCTCATAATCAGAATTTCGGGGGTCCTACTATATTCCACCCCCAAGAAATGCGGGTTTTGTTGGCCACATGTGCCTGAGAATGCGTGTGATTCCTTTCAGCTGTTCTGTGCTTCTTATCTTGATTAGATTTAGAGTTCTGGGGATTCTCAAAGGCACCATATAACTTGCCCCAAACTGGCCAGAAGATGTTTCTAGTTTTGGGGTTTTTTTTTGTTTTTTTAAATACCAAGCCCATTCCAAACTAAGGGCATGCCCATTCCAAATCAATGAATCAATTTGTTCCATTAAAACAAGAAGAAAATAAACTTTTAGGGTGGGGATTCTCTTGACAGAAGAAGAAAATCAGAAATAATCTTTCATGGACCTGGTCACAAAATCTAACTATTAGATTCAAGTACATTTGCACTCCAAACAGTTAGGCTTAACTTTTTATAAGTAAAGAGTACAGAGGTTTGAAAGACAGAGGGAGAGAGGAAGGAACAGAGACAGGGAAGGAATGAAAAAGGAGACTGTGGGTCAATCCAAACAGGGTTGAAGCCAGTCAGGGGTAAGATTAGTGCCTACAAGGTTCTCTCTCAAAAACAATAAAAGTACATTTATTTAATCAGAAACCAAAAGGACTGGTTAGAACATAAAATGTAGCATTTGGAAAATAAAGAAAGGAAGCAGGTCTTCAGCACTGATTGAAGGGAAGAGAGACCAGCCAGGCCTACAGAACCTCTGGATCACATGCTCACAACACCCATCGAGCACCTTGTGAACTCACTGGCTTTCTACACAGGCTCCCTTCCTTAATAGGATGATATATTTTCCTTTTAAAACTCATAGACATATGTGACAGCAGCCAGGATCACTCCCGACCAATGAGACTACTCATGATAATAGATTCTGCATGAAAAAAATAAAACCAGACAAAACCCTGAAAGAAATGAGAGATGTAAGGCCTCAGGACTGCTTTTCCAAACTCCATCTACCTTTCCCCAGTATCACAAAAGTAGCGCCTGCAACAGCCCCACCTGGGACACTCACTGATTTCTTCCCAGACAGCCACTGCTAAATGAGACAGTCCAACAGGAAGATTTGGATGAGGCTGGATGACATGTACAAGGTCATTTTATATACGTAGGGAAGGGGCTAAATTCCGGTTTGCTCCCATTATAGTATATCGCAGATATTAAAAAGTAAATTAAAACTGATTTCAACTGGCCCAAATTATTTAGACAATTATATCGTAGAAGAGAAGACATTTCCTAAATTCTTAGAATTCAGTATCTTTTTTCTTGATCAGTAATTTTCACTCCTGAATTTTACAGAACCTGAAATTGGGTATTACCAGCAAAAACCCTCTGTAAAATAATGAGTTGACAGCAACCTTTAAAGCTTATTCCAGTTTCTTGACCCAAGACTCAATTTCTCAGTCTTCAAACTTGGCCACCAAAACAAAAACAAAAACAAAAAAAAGCACTTTGGGCAAAAACAACATGATACACAGTTCCTGCCAACAGGAATATAAAAAACAGGCTCACTTGATCATTTTTATTGTCGCAAGCAAAGACTGACATGGAGGCAAATATAGCCTTGAACATGTTGACTTGCTGCTCCCTGGCCCCAAGGCTCATCCACTTCTGGCCTGACGCCAAGGGTGTGGTTCTAGACAGGAACAGGCAGTAAGATCAAGGGATTCTGCCTCAGTTATTCGAGGCCAAGCCCCAATTCAACCCTTCTGGAAGCGTGTGGTCCCAGTGATTTAAGTACATGCTAACTACAGGACCTAGTCAAAACAAAACAGCGGGAACAAAGCCAAGCTACTTTTTTTAATTTTTAAAAGTTTTCAGCTATCCCTTTGTTAGCCCCATTAGCACAAAATACAGCTTCCCAATGTCTTTTCTGCCTCTTTTTCAAAATTAGTCAACAGGTTCCTTCGAAATAAGCACTCTACTCACTTCTAACCCCATAACCTAACATACCGCCTACATAACAGGATCTTAGTAAGTATTTGTTAGAGAGACGGGTGGAAAGATAGAGTTTCAAGAGAGGCTGGAAAATGATATGGGTATTAGAGCAGACCTAAAATGAATGGAAGCAGTGCGTATATTTCCATTGTAATGGTGATAAAGGGGATTAGAAGACCTAATCGCCTAGCCACAAAGGGGGACTTACATTGGCTTAACTCTAAGGGACATAAACAGATCTGAGAACACTGAAAACAAAGTAGGCAACTTGAAGCACATAAGCAACCAAAAATATATCCCCACATAAAGCATAATAAGGACTAGAGAAAAACTGTAGGACCCTTCTTCCTTTTGCTAATTGTGTCAAAGAGTAAGAGGCAGTAAACAGTCAGTTTGCCAATGGATGAGGAAACAGTTTAGGAAAAATCGTTTCTCACATAGTTATTCACTGAACACATGTTTAGAGAACAAAGTCATCTTTAACGAGAAATTTTTTGAAAACTGGGAAGATATCAGGGCAATAGTAAGTATAAATATAATGAAACTAGCCAATCACATTTGTTTGCCTCTCTGAAGAGAAGACCTGAAAGCAGACAGCAATTCACCCAGGTTGCAATCACACAGACATATTCTAGGACAATACTAAACAAAATCTGCAAGAATTCACTCTGGACCCTCTGGGCATTCTAAATTTAATAAGCTGGATTGTTGGTTAATTACCAACCTAATAACCTTCCTAAACTAATATGTTTACTTTAAAGTAGAAATCTGTAGTTTATCATAAAAATTGAACTCAGTACCCAGTATTTCAACATTTTCCGGAGCAGTTGGCTTTATTTCTTTATGGATATTATTACCAGCAATGCTTCTTAATTACCCACACTACAACTCTTTCCTAAGATAAATCACCTGTTGAATAAGACATCATCACTGATGTTCAAGAGCTTCTCCCATCCAGAGCTTCTTGGAGTTTAGGAGACTGCCCACTACTGCTGCCCTGATGATTGTGATAAATATTTATTTTTTTCTTAGAAAGAAGAATGCCACCTTTTCGTTTCCTAAAACCTTATTATTCTTCAACCATTAAGCCTCAGCCACCCATCATCACCATCATAATGCCCACACCAACACCAGCAGTAAAGAGGGAAGCTACTCCTCCTGACTTCACAAGGAATCTCATGCAGTCACACACAGTGGGCTGTGCTTCTGTCCAGGTGAATGGGAAAGCTATCTAGTGAGCTTAAAAAAAAAAAAGAAAAGTCACAAGATGCTAATCAAGCCTTCTTGTGTTAAAAAAAAAGAGAGAGAGAGATTTGTTTTTCTGTGTCTTAATTACACACATGTTCTTCTTTAGAAAGGACCACAAAATACACAAAGATTCCTGAAATAAAGAGTCAACCTTTCCCTGGTTCACAATTCAGTATTAACAATCATACCAAATATGTAAACTTGTCATAGTTACAAAAAAACAGATCTTAGTCCAGCCAATAACAATATGCAAAAGATTCTTAAACACATTTGGACAATTTATATCCAGGGCTTTTCCCAAGGCATAAGAATGTCCAGTTTTACAAATTTATAATTAAAACTATTTTCAGTTACTTATTTGTAAAAGCCTGTCAATTCCCATAAGACTTCAACATGAAAAATCAAGACCCACTCTATTTTTATACTTGTTATAATATTAGAGTTATATATCTTTTATAATATCAAGTTATATATCTTTTCTTATAGAACTCAACAGACTACATGTCAGCTTTTCCTGATGTCTGAAATGTATAAAAATATTTATACGAGAACTTCCCAAATAAATGGACTTGCCTATCAAAACCCACCCCTATCTTGTGCATACTTTTCTCTATGTTGGGCCAGGTCCTCTATAAATTCTAGTCAGGGACCCTAACATGTAAGATCACTGAGAACATTGCTACTTTTTAGAAACACAGTGATGTCGTGTAAGTCCTGGATGGACCTGACCACTGGTAATTCATTTTGCACTTTCAGGTTTAAAGTATTCTTAAAATTTATTTTGTATCTTGATCAGGAGCTAAGCAGGCCTGCTGATTCCCTAACTCTCCAGTGCTGCCTTTTTGCTTACAGTTTATAGAGCCTCTTGTGTCCTTTCGTAGACTAGGCTTTGCCAGCACTCCTGGGTTCATAGTCTAGCTCCTCCACTTAGTAACCACGTGACCTTGGGAGAGTTATTCAATGTATCTGGATCTCAGATTCCTTGTTATTGCTTTCAATTTATGGGCAATCTCTTCCTCCCAGGGCTATAAGGTTGAGTAAGATAATGTTTGCAATTAATTAGCATGGTGCCTGGTACACAGTGAACACTTGTTCAAGTGTCCACATCATGTTTAGGGCCTGAGAACTTTAGGGCTTTTGCATAATTAAAGGCTTCTTTGGGGATGAGCTCTTGTTCAAGTCTGTCTTCTCCCCAGGCTTGTATGTGCTATGAAAGCAAGGGCTGGGTCTGACTTATTAACCACTGCATCCCCAGGCTTAGCAAATCCTTAGGCACTGTGTTAAATATACATTTAGTGAGTAAATGAACAGGTGAGTGAGTAGGTAAAAGAAAGTAAAGAATGAATGAAAGCTAATGCCATGCCTGAAGACCATTCTTGAACCCACAAGACACCATTCTTGGGTTTAAGAACAAAAGTGGAGAGGCAAGCAGACTTACAAGAGACATCCTGAGGTCCTAGCCATCTCAGTCCTGATCCTTGGTGTTGTCCCCAGTTTGGGGTTCCCAGTGGGGACTTCTCTAGGGATAGGAGTGGGAAACTCTGGTCTTCAAATACTTAGAAGATGTGCACTTATGACACAAGGACAGAAAACTATAGTTTGGTGCTAAAGAAAGTATTTTGACAAATCTCAGAAGAAAAACCACATGGTAACTAGAAGCAAAAATAACGCCATACTCAGATTTTCCCAGAAGTCACAAGCTAAAAGATGTGAATTGCACAGACCATGGGAAAGGGGAGGTCTCACACGGCCATTTCACTTATTAGACCTTCCCACAGCAAGGCAGAGTGTGTCCAAATGTACACAATGCTGATATCATGCTTTTAATTTAAGCTAAAGGATGCAATATCTGGTTTTAATTCCTATGACTCCAGGAAGTCTTTTTTAGTCACCAGAGGAAAATCTGAAATCTCCTGATACCCCATTATGACAAAGGTGAACAGAGGAGACAAAAAAGAGGGGGTAGGAAAAGAATGGAGGAGTTAAAGGACCAAAAGAACCTTAATAATACACGTTACGATATGCTGTAATTCTACATACTTTATATTGCATCCTGTCCCTAGACGTGCTTAATGAACAGACTTAATAAACGAATTAATATGGAGAGTGTGATGAAAATAGAAATGATAAAGAACAACAGAAAAAAAAACAATGCAGGTAGAGAAAATAACTAAACTAACAAAGAGTGGAAGAGGAAGATGTAAAGAGAATAGCCGGGAAGAATGCAGGGGTGGGGGGTATAGCTCAGTGGTAGAGTGCATGCTTGGCATGCACAAGGGTCCTGGGTTCAAGCCCCAGTGCCTCCATTAAGGGGAAAAATTTTTTAAATAAATAATAAATAAAATAAAAAACAAAAACAAATGTATGTTAAAAAACAGAAAAAAATTATTTAAAAAAAGGAAGAATGCAAAAAGGGAATAAAGAAAGAAAAAATGGTGAAATGGGGTCATTAGAGAAATGTGTGTATATAGTATATAGGGTATGAACATGTGTGTCAGAGAGACAGGGAGAGATTGAAATTAACTAGAGCTGAGAAAGATGGGAATGGAGCGAAAGTTGAAGGCTATAGGAAAACAAAAGCAGTTGTGGGGAGGATTTGGGGTTTGTTAACTGTTCCAACTTTTTCAAAGACTTTCCACATCTTGCGTCACTCCCTTGGTCTTTAAATTTGGCTGCTAACGGGGGAAATCTAGTTTGTATATTATATCTAATTTATTTCCCCTTAATCCTTCTATTCATTTTTCAGATGCTTTCTTGGAAACAGGAAACCATATTTTAATAAGGTTAAACCCATGGAACATCATATTGCCTTGAACTTTAAGGTAAACTGAAACTCAACCCAAGATTTAAAAATAAAACAGTAAACCTAGCAGAAACCCAGTACTTAACCCAGAAGTATACCAGCCTCATGAATTTGGCATTACACATTCTCTGAAAAGTGACCACAGTTTATGTACAAGTGAGAGACAAGAGGGATCTGTATTGCCTTTATTTGGGAAAACAACTGTACAGCAGAGATTTGGTGAGTTACCTAAGCCATGTGAAGCAAATTCAGGCCACAACTATTAAGTAATAATTATTAATGCACTTTTAAAACAAATGTTATGAAGCAATAAAAAAGACTATTTCTATACATAAGCAAATCCTTTCCCCTCTCAGGACCTGTTATCCCATCTGTGATAAACGAGTTGTTTTAAGTAAGAAAGTGTTTTCCTGCCTCAGCCGGAGCAGCACCACGTGTGTTAGTTTAAATTTGGGGTTTCTGGGTTAAATTGCATTTGGAGAAAGTATCCTAAAGAAAAGAGATAATGAAAGCTACCACAACAGATGATCCCTCTCCCAGTCACCTGCCCTCCTGGAGGAGGGGACTGAGCGCTCTTGCTTTGCCCTGCAAGCCCCATCAGGAGGCTTCCTCCTCACCCTGTTCTTTCACACTGCCCCCAGCCTTAGGCCCTTCCTTCGCTGTCCAATGTCTTTCTCAGCCTGATCCTGACCCCACCCCTCCTCTCCCTGGCACCTGCAACCATTTTTCACACATTCTACAAGAATTTATTTAGCACCTACTATGTGCTAGACTTTGTTCTAGGGACTTGGCACATATCAGTGAGCAAAGTAAAGACCCCTGTGCAGCTTACACTGTAGCAGGGAGAGCTAAATCAATAATAAACTTAGAAAACAAGCAAGTTGTCAATAGGTCAAGACGGTGATACGTGCTATGAGAAGATGAGAAAGTCAAGCAAGACAGGGAGGACTGAGAGGGGTAGGAGGAGTCATGCTGAGAAGGAGGATTCTTGGCCTCATTCCTACAGTTTCAAGGATGACAACTACCCAATCCGGCCTGGCCCTTCCTACGCTATCCTGGAACTGACCTCTGGTCAGAGCTGTGGGAGGGTGTGGTGGAGATAGTTAGCACTCATCAAATATCCATGTTATTTCCCAACCTCCCTTGCATTCAGGTCAGGCTCATGTGACTCATGCTGGCCAGTGAAATGTGAGAGGAAGAGCAGTGAAAAGTCAGTCTGTCCCTTTCATCTCATCCTTACTTTGATGTGCTCACCTGAGAGGCCATCATGGCTAAAAGATGAAGAAGGCCACCCAACCTGCAGCAGAACGTGACATGAGGAAGAAATAAACTTTTACTGTTTATGCCACTATGATTTCAGAATTGTTTGTAGCTGAATCATAGTGCAGGCTATCTGTGCCAACAGCTATGAAAGAGAATGAACTGGTAATTACAACATCATTTTCTTTCTTTTTGATGGTAAAGAAAGCAAAAAATCATGAATTATACCTCCTCATAGATTGATAGAAGTATACAGCCAGGAAAGAAATGAGTAATGGTAAATTATATTGAGGCTGCCCTTTTTAGGACTCCATAAATATTCTGTGATGTATTTTAAGCAAGTATTTTGATTCATGAACACAATTTACTTTTCTTGGATTCACATAACAGTAAATTTTCATTGAAAAAATTACTTAGTAGAAAACGTGTAATTTGTTTTAATCTAAGCAAAATACTTCTTTGGCCATTTAGTTTCCTGGCTATACCCCTGACTTAAGTCTCAAACTGGGAGAATATTTTTTTCTATAAACATTTGTTATAACAGCACTCAATTAAGAAAGATTAAAATATTAAGAGTACCCACACAAGCTAATGCAAGGCACAGGCAATGTACGTTCTAGGCTGTGCACTGTAGAAATCTTATAACATAAATGTGCCTGTGCTCTGACTCATGGGATCATGCTAAGACCTTTATCCACATTTTCCTTTAGTGGACTCCAAAGAAAACATCTGAAAGATAGTCTCAAACTCATAAAGATTTGTTAATAAACAAAACTAATCTGTATGGAAATACTGATATTGGAGGCCAGACATACAAGCATGTAAAGTGAAAGACCACTGAGGGGCGGCAGGAAGACCCCAAAGATTCTTCCACAGCCTGTCAGATGCCTGCAGTCCTATCATTAATGGCTCCTTCCTTTGACTCAAAGGATTTTGTTTCTCTGCAACAGCTTTAACAGAAAAGAACAAGACACAGCTGTAATAGAACAGGTGGGGAGACCACGATGAAGAGCAGGAGACTGGGTTGAACAGTGTGAAGATGGTGATAACAAAAAATGGTCTAAAATAAACCAACTGATTCATAAATCAGACTACCCTTCTTGCACTATCTGCTGTATTTAAGACATTATGCCAGGCACTCTGCAAGATACAGAAATATATGAGGCACAAAGTCTTCAAGAAGTCTGCAGTCTAGAACTGGCCCTTGTTATAGAACCAGAGAATGGATGGCTGATCAGATCTAGAACATGGCCTGCATTCATCCTCTGCAAGTCTGCATAAGGCTCCAGGGAGATTCAGGTCAGGCAAGTGAAGGATATTGTGGGACTAGAGGGAACAAGATGTAGAGAAGAGGAGACAAGGATGAAAGGAACGATGACCTGATAAAGCCATTCTCCCCTCGGTAAACACTCTTACTCTTAAGCATCAGAAGAGATTATAGGCTTCAATGCCTGGAGAATTTTATGTCCTTCCACCAAATAAATAGAAACATAAATTGAATTTCAGATAACTAGTTTGTTACATTTTGTTACAAAAGCTTTTTGATTTTGAGATTTTTCATTTGTCAGTTTTAAACACTTACCATCAAACTTTGCAAGTCTGCTAATATCGGCTCCAAGTTCCGAGGTAACTGATAGTGCGTGGCGCACTTTGAGGTTTGTTTCCCTGTGAAATTAACAGACATGACATGAACTTCTGTATGGAACAGCCCAACCGCCACTTACACAGAGCAATCAGAGGCGTGCAGCACTTGCACCATCCCTCTGAATGTCATTTCCACCTCTCACACTACCTAGGGAAAGTAGACAGGGCTTTGCCAGCACCTAAGAGTTGGCATTCCACTCACGGCACATCTGTGTAACAACACAGTCATCTATTTTGCTATTTGAAAGACCAGAGGACATAATAAATACGCTTTCATTCAAACCATGCATGAGCAACAAAACACATTAGGAATGGGAACAACTGCCAAGTAAAGGAGGCCAGTTTCAACTCCAGAGTCTACTATCTATGTAGCACCCTTACTTGCAAAAGATGGTCATGGCTAATTTCACAGTAGCTGGAATTCAAATGGGAAAAGGAATACAGCTTTCTCTTTCTTGGAGAATCAAGCCAACAATCCCATAAGTCTAGAATCATACAACCAGCCAGGGAACCAGCAGATCACAGTGGACTGATCATCTTCCAGGCAGGACCACACATACATTGGAAAAATAGCTCTCTGATATTCATGAATTGACCAGCAGAGAAGATTCTACGACCATCACTCAACTCTCATGGTTAAAGGGCTTGCCATTCCAGTTTTCTCACTGAGTTCAACCTAGTTCTCTTCTTCTGTAGGTAGAACTCCTGATTAATACCTTCAGTGTCATGCTATACTCTTCCTTAATCTGCCTCAATATCTTGATAAAACTTCAAGATGATTTTTAGCATAAGAAACAATACAGAAAAATTCTGTGTACCCTTTACTCAGTTTCTGCTAATAGTGACATCTTGTATAACTGTATCACAATATCACAACCAGGATACTGACACTGACACAGTCAAGATACAGAATATTTACTCCACACAAGGATTCCTCAGGTCTCCCTGTGTGGCCACACTCACTTCCTTGTCTCCTCTAGTCCATCTTTAACACCTGGCAACCCCTAATCTGTGGTCCATTTCTCTAATTTTATAGAAATGTTATATAAATGAAATAATACAGCATGTGAGCCTTTGGGATTGGCTTTTTTTTTTTTTTCATGCAACGTGCTTCTGGGAAGATTCATCCAGGTTGGTGCATGTCTCAATAGTTCACTCCTTTTTATTGCTCAGTAATATTCTATGATATGGATGTACCATAGTTTGTTTAACCACTCATGTGCCGAAGGACCTATAAGTTGTTTCCAGCTTGGGGATGTTACAAATAAAGCTGCCCTAAATATTTCTATACAAGTTTTTGAGTAGACATAAGTCTTCATTTCTTTGGGATAAATGCCCAGTAATGAAACAGCTGGGTTGTATGTTTCAGGGTTGTTTTATACATGTTTGTTTAGTTTGTTAAGAAACTGCAAACTGTTTTCCAGACTCACCATAGCACTTTACATTCCCATCGGCAATGTGTGGGTGATCCTGTTTTTCTACACCTTGCCAGCATTTAGAGTTGTCACTATTTTTTATGTTAGCTATTCTGATAGGTGTGTAGTAGGATCTCACTGTGGTTTTAATTTTAATATCCCTAATGGCTAATGCTCTTGAACATCTTTTCATGTGCTTGTTTGCCATCTCTATGTCATCTTTCGTAAACTGTCCCTTCATATCTTTTGCCAATCCTCAATCTTCTAATTGAATTGGATTGTTTTCTTACTGTGGAGTTTTGAGTAGTTTTCACATATTCAAGATACAAGTCCTTTGTCAGATAGACAGATTGCAAATATTTTCTCCTAATCTATAGCTTATTTTTCATCCTCTTAATAAGGTCTTCTGCAAAGGAAAAAAAAATTAATCTGATGAAATCCAGTTTATCAAATTTTCCCTTTATGGATTATGCCTTTTGTGTCAAATCTAAGAACTTTTTTTTTTTAAATGCACCAGCATCATGCTGCAAGCCACCCAGGCTCCTCGCCAACTCCATGCCACCGTGTTCACTGACTGACAGAATCTAAGAACTGACTAGCCCTAGGTCTTGAAGATTTTCTACTACATTTTTCTGTAAAGGGTTTATGGTTTTATGTTTTACATTTGAATTCAGCATCCTTAATAGTTAGAGCACTTTTCAAATTACCTACTTCACATTGGATAAGTTGTGATAATTTGGTTTTTGATGAAGTGGTCCACTTTTATCTACATTGTTAACTTAACATGTACGGAGTTGCTTGTAGCATTTCCTTACCATTCTAATGACTTCAGGATGTTATAATATCCCATGGTTCATTCATGGTATTGTTAATTTGTGTCTTCTCTCTTTTTCTTTCCCAATCTTCATAAAAAATTTGTCAATTTTTATTGATATTTTCAAAGAATCAGCTCTTTGTTTCATTGATTTTCTCTGTTGTTTCTTTTATTTTTCAAATTCACTGATTTCTACTCTTGTCTTTACCTCCTTCCTTCTGCTTGCTTTGGGTTCATTTTGCTATTGTTTAGGTTCTTGAGATGGAAGGTTAGATAAATGATTTGAGAGCTTTTCTCTTTCCAAGTGTATACATGTATTGCTATAAATTTCCCTCTCAGCACTATTTTAGCTCCTGCCCAAACCAAGGGTAGGACTGCACAGGCTGAACACTCTTTGGATAGCTCAATATGGCAATGATTTGGGAGACTGTGGTTAAAACCATGGGTTCTTTTATCTGACTGCCAGGTTTGAATCCTGACTTCACACTTTAGAAGTCTGGGACAAATTTTCTAGTCTCTGTAAGCCTCATCTCTACCATGTGGCTTATACAGTACCTAGGTCAAGATTAAATGACAAAATCCATCTAAGAAATGTATGCAGTACCTTTAAAATGTAAGCATTTGATAAGTTTTATGTCAGACAAACTAAATCCACTGAATCAGAATTATTATATGGTGTATAACTAAGTTCTAAATTAACATCAATGTCAAAGCTGCATTATACCCCATTTCTCTCTTCTCTCTACATCTTCAATTGACCTAGTTCCAAAAGATTGCCTTCTAAAGTAACATCAGTCCTTCTTTCCTCAAGGGATCTTGATTGCCAGTCCTCTCATTTTCTTTAAAGAATCACTTGAAATTTAAAACAAACAAGCAAACAAACCAACCCTTCCAGGGAATCTCAGTGGAGAGCCCCTGTGTGAAATTATTTATATATATATATATATATATATATATATATATATATATATATATATATTTAGCTCACTGTTTCTGAAAACTAAATATATAAATTCAAGAGAAAAGGCAATTTTTACAAGATCTACAAAATAATTAGCAAATAGACTTTGCAACTTAGAGTCTAATTTCTTTCAAGAAAATAAAGTGAAGAATAAGGTTTAAGGTTTCAGTTAGGCCCTGTTTCTAAAGCCATTACTCTTCAATAAATTGAAAACCAATCTAATCAAGCATTTTAACTTTAATCACTCACCCATCAAGCTCAGCGGTTTCGATGTAACAGAGGCCATGTGGCTCACTACTTGATAGGAGCAGCAGATCAGCCTATTTTGAAAAACCATGACAAAGAATGTTTGAGACAGGAAGATGGGTTGAAAGCCTTCTACACTGCACCACACTTCCACTACTAACGAGCCAGCAGAGCCTTGGCAAAAAGTGAGAGGTGAAATCCTGTTCCATCTCTCTGCCACAGACCACGGATCAAACCCACCCTCTACTTCCCCGTCCCTGCTTTGCACGCCCTTGACCATCAGAACATAAGCAAGGGCAAGAGACAGATATATAAAGTAATAGCCACTTCATTTATTATTTTAGTAGAAATGTATACAATTTATATACATATATATATAATTTTATATATATTTATAGAAATATATCAAATCCTATTTTCTTGCTTTGATAATCACTAATGGAAAATATAAAACTTCCCCCAATAAACAGGATAACTGGAAATACTTATATGCACATATTTTAATTCCTTAGTTATCGGCTAAGAGCAGGAGGCAGACAAAGATGGGGAAAGACAAAAATGAAGTAGAAGAAACTAAAGAAAAAAATTAGAGAGGCAAGGAAAAATTAAAAGGAGAGAAAGATTAAAGGGAAAACAAGATTTAAAAAATACACAAGAAAAAAGAAAAGATGGTGGGGTATAAGGAAGGCAAAAGAGAAGGAAAGTGGGGGCTAAGCAGGAACACAGGATAGAATAGAAAATACAGTCAAAGTAGAAACCATTCAGAGGCAGGTAGCTGGTCTTTGGCAGAGATTAATTATTCTGTTCAGTCATTCATCCGTGCTTTGGAAACAACTCATTTCAATTCAACTCATTTCGAGTTTTAGAATTCTGGCAGCTTTGTACATTGGAACACTGTGTCTTTTAAATTTCAAAATTTATTTCAAAATAAGTGTTTTTTTAATAAAATCCCAAAAGATGTCAATGTCTGAGAAGAATTGATAAAAATTTTAGCAATTTATTTTGACATCTTAGCCTAAAACTTTTCTAGCTCTGTTTAAATGTATAATTAGCATTCCCAATCTATAAACTGTTCTTACTTCTGTTTTTAAAATATTAGAATTGTGTCATTCTCAAATGCTGGAGGTTGAATTTAGAATCAGTCCACTCATTTCACTGTCTCGAGCTCTTAAATTTTCAACTCAAGAACAGGCAAGGTGTATGGGTGTGGGGGTGTGTGTGTAGTTTTGTCCAAGTTCCAATAAAACAGAGCTGAAAAAAACAAGTACCTACAAGCAGCCCAAAAGGAATAAATGGCTTTGCGCTATCAAGGCTTTTCCTCAGCTCGAGATGAAAGAGTCACAGGCGCCTGTTACAGCAGAAATTATTTACTGGCTTATCACAATGTGACCAGAGCAAACGCACTCTGAAGAGAACATGTGAAGAGCGGATGCCGCTGGAGCCCAAAATTACCCACCTGGATTTTTAAGCCCAAAAAAAAAAAAAATGGAAAATTTACCTTGTTTCATTTCTCACAGTTAAATTTCAGTGAATACAGACCTAAGTGGTAGAGCTTCCTGCTCTTTGGCTTATGCTTCTCCTCTCCTGAGTCTTACAGGATCGTTTTAAACAAAATCCAGAATTCTCTAATTCCTCTCATCTGTGATTAAAAACAGTTATGAAGTACAGAGAAAGGTACCTATTTGCACCTGGAGTTGCTTTTCTTCAAAACTCTGCCTAGTAGGAACTATCCAATGTCATTGTTTACTTTTGAGCTCCACTGCCTTAACACATAGTTTTGGTAAACAAGGGGAGGATTTGTTGTCCACAGTTGGCTCAAAACATGTGACTGAGCCACCACTGCCACCTGGCGACTGGATTCCTTCCTGAGCGTGACTCAACTTCCTAGAGGCAGAAACTGAGACCAGAAAACCCCGTGGGTCCTGGGCTGACTTCCTGCTCTCTCTACCCCATGAGTACCGGGAATTTGTACTTTCCTGCCTCTTCCTGTCACCTCCATTGTCACCGTTCTCTATGTCCTCTGAACCCGCCTTCTGTTTTCCCACTCCCTGCTCTCTGCCCTGCCCTCCCCTCATTCTTCCTCTCTTCTCCCTGCCCCACTGCTGAACCTTGGTATTTCCTTCTGCTAACTTCACCCGTCAAGTTTTTTTTATTTCATTACAGATGAGGAGTGGAAGGGTGAAGGGGCAGGACCTCCAGAGGCATCCAGCAAAAGTGGTCAGCCCACTCATCATGCTGGCCTCCTATTTCCACGCGCACTCAGCAGTCATTCTGGGAAGGAAGGCAGGAAACCTGCAGTAATGACTTCGTGACACCCAGGTTGTCCTTTGCTTAGAAGTTCAGGGAAAGGAGTGGAGCAACACATGCGTGGTCCTAGGGCCCATCAAGCCCCATGACTCTGTGAGTCTCAGATCAGGCCTATTTAAGCTGATCCCTTCCTTTCGTATCTCTCAGGGAACCTAGTTCCTAGTTGATCCAGAAACTTGTGTTCGAGCTGTAGGTGTTATAATACCAATAACCAGTATTTGGTGAGTACTTACTATGTGTCTGGCACTACTCCAGTAGCCTTCCTGCACTATTTTGTTTAACGCTCACAGAAATTCTGAAGGCAGGTGGTGGTTTTATCTCCCCTTTACAGATGAGCAAACTGAGGCCCAGAGAGGTTCAGTAACACATAGTAAGTCGGGCACCAGGACATGAACCCAGGCAATCTAAGGCATATACTTCTAGGAGTACTAAATCGAGTGAAAACTTCTTTCCTTCAAGGACTATATAGTTTAGTAAAGGCAGAACATGATGAGGGTCCTGAGGGTCTTATTAACAAAGTGCTATGGGAGGAATGCAAATGAGAAAGAGAGTATATCAGGTTGGTAGTTGGGGAGATCTAATGGAATATTCTGGATGGAATGGAGGGCAGGTCCCCCCAGGCAGAGGAGTTAGCAGGAATGAAGCACAGGGAAGGGAAAGTGTGACTACTGGAACTCACAGGTGGGCTAGGCAGCCGCTAATTCGTATGCCCATCTTCCTTAGACTCCCCCCTTGTACTGTCTTCTGTCAGTCATCGGTGCCTTTTACCCACGCCCTCCCGGGAAAGGCTCGGCTATCTCCCAAGACTGAAGTAATGTTTTCCAACACAATGCCCCTTCCTCCACCTTCCACAGGTAACACGAAGCCCAGGCAGCAACTTCATGGACACCTGAAACACATACACCAGCCAGAGGAACCTTGAAAAGAATCCAGTGAATATCTCTGAGTCCTCAGAGCCAAAGATGCTAGACTCATGGGTTTACTAGACATAATTAAAGTTTGTTGAATTAAAGAGCAAATGAAGCAAAACCTCAAGAGATGATAACACCTAAAAGCTGTACAATTCTTTAAGGATTAAACTCTTTACAAAATTGTCATTTGATTCTCTCCGCAATCCCGTTAAGGGGTAATGTGGTTCCCACTATGAAGATAAGAAACCTGGGTAGGTCATCTCTGGTCCCAAAAGCACTAGATGAGCTAACTTAACTCATGTAACATCCACAGTCTTTACAAAGAAACGGTGGAAGTTTCACCACATCTAACTGAGGAGCCCAAGGCTCCAAGAGATTGAACTCATGGCCATACGGAGCTTAAAGGGTAGAGCTGGAATTAGAACTCAGATCTCTGATCCCAAAATGTATACACTATCTTCTGGTTAGTGACAAAATCACTGGAATACAACTATGAAAAACAGAAAGCATTCTGCTTTGTTGATTTTCAAAAACCAAAACTACAACAGTGAAAGAATATTGGGATTTGGCTCTATAACCTAATGGAAAGATAAATTTATAGAATTAATTGGAACACCATATTTGGGTCTCCCTTCATTTTTTAAGCCATCCTCACACACAGAATTCTTCTTTATTTTCTTTATCATCTCTAATACTATGTTTTATTTTTTGGTAGAAAAATTTTTTATTCTAATGGACTCAGGAGCAGCATATGGCAGAGGGAAAGAGTGAGGTTAAAACCCAGATGGCCTGAGTTTAATTCCTGCCTCTCCTATTGACAAGCTATTTGATAGCACTGTGACTCCATTTTCTTATCTATAAAATGAGAACACTAATAGTACATAACCTGCCATCACTGGACTAACATGAGGATTAAATTAGTTAAGTCATATAAAGACTTTACAATATTGTCTGGCATGTGGCATGCAGTCATTAAAGGCCAGCTATTATTACCATGATCTTCATGACCTGGTGTCCCAAGATGTACCTGGGTCCAACAACTCTGAAGTGTCTCTTTTAGAGACCGGGGATTGTTTCTCCCCAAATATGAGCTCTCTGTCAGCCCCTGCCAGCTGATGCCAGGGAGTAGGAAGGTAGATTCGTTAATTCCAAGTGATTACAGCCGTTCACACATAAAAACATTTGCTTGCCCTTGAGAATAGTTTTGTAGGTGCTGAGTAGCTAGACATGGAGAAACTTTGAATGAAGTGATCTAATCAAGAGGCATGTTCTGCCATTTGGAGCACTCCCTACCACACTCAGCCAAAGATTAAACCAACACAGCTATAACTGTAGGAATCAGACAGAGATCAATGGAGATTAAAATATCACCTTTGTTACTGATAAAGCTGTTGGAGACCAGGCTCTAGGTCTGTGAGCAGAAAGGACTTGCTAATACTTCACCCCTGTTAGACAGAATCATCTAGCCCAGAAGCTGGAGGCTCTTAACCTCCGATCTGCTCCTGTAAAATCGATATTGTGAACAAGCAGGGCAGAAAGTACTTTCTGCACACAGACAGCACAAAAAAAAAAGGAAGGAAGGAAGCACCAGGTCATGCACACAACTCCCTGCCCCCAAACTCAACAATCAGAGAAGTCACTCCCAGGAGAGGGGAGCAAGCAAGGGGGTGCAAGACACTGTTATTTTGGGGCTCTCCCTCCATGTGAAAACAGGAAGAATGGGACCTAGAGAAGAGCAGAGAATAAGCATTTCCACCCCATCATGTAGCCACAATAAAGAGGCTACCTCTACACTGTCCAGTAAGGTAGCCACAAGTCACATGTGGCTATTTAAATCTAAATTCATAAAAAACAAACAGAATTTAACATTCAGTTCCTCAGCTGCACTAGCCACATTTCAAGTGCTCAGTATTCACGTGGTGCTACTGGCTGTTCTGTATCTGAACAGCACAAATATAGAACATTTCCTTCACTTTAGAAGGTCCTATTGGACAGTGGGGATACATGGATCACTGACTTCTTGAAACTTGTCTAAGCATGCAATTCATTTTAAATTAGTGCTAATGATGCGCCCATGGAACCGGTTTCCTTCCACCTGATGCTCGCACTTACACTTGACTTCCATGCTTCATTCCACAAAAGGGTTTGCAATAACAAGCAAGTATGCATGCTATAACATAGAAAATACAACTAAAGGCCAATGGAAGTGCAAAGCAGAACATCAAGGAGAGAGGGCAACTGGGAGCACAGATATGCAGTCCATGAGATCCTTGGAGTTAGGAGATTTGAGACACAAATTGGATTCCTGCCTTTATGGGAATCACCCCAGAGAATCGGATGAATGAACATCAAGTGAGTTCAATCTGATATTTACCCGTTAGAGTATATCCACAGAACTTTTAAAACACATTGTTTCTGCTGAATACCTGAGGCAGAAATTACCCAGCGTTGCCCCTGACGTATTCAGTTCCAAATAAAATAATAGTTAAATGTCTGGAGTACTTTAATTTTTTGATAATTCCACTATAATCTAATATCATGTCTGGCAAAAATTGCCAAAAAATTTTTTGAATGCATCATATTAGAATACCACATATGCCCATTAAAAAAAATTTATCCGCTTAGAAGCACCAAAACTTTTTCACTGTAATCATTTTAATTGAAAGTAGAACTAAAATAAGTTATATGGGGCCGTTTATTCAAGCAAAGAACCCTGAATATATGTGATCTTTTCTTAATTACAGCATATAGATCTGTTTATTAGTACCCCATTGATTCAGAACACCTTAAATTTTCAAAATTTGTATCTACTTTTGTTTCTGTCTTCTTTCCTACAAAAGATTGATATTAATTCATTCAACTAACATTTATTAAGTGCCCCCTGTGATCCAACATGGTATCAATTGTTGGAGACCAGGGAAAGCAATGTGCTCTTTGCCTGTAAGAATCTTGTAGTCTCAGCTCAGAGAATCACAGCAAGTAAGGGCTGAAAGGGACCTCTGAGATAATACAGTAGTCTTGCACCTAGATTTGACACATGAAGAAATAAACCAAAGGCAGAGGGGATAAAGTGCTGTCACTGCAGGAATGGAGCAAAGACTCCATTCTCATCCAGTTCCCCATCTGGTGCCCTTACACTGTATCTTACAGTAAGCCTCCATCTTTCATACAGGGTCTGTCCTTCTAACAGATGCTACCCGCAGTGTACTGCTCCTTATCTTTAATGAGCTGGAAAATAAGTTGGATAAGGTATTTAAAATTGTGTCCGATGTAAAAGTAAATAGATTATGAGAACCTGGCAGACTGTCCCATGTCTAAGGAACCTAGGTTACAATGCGTGGACTTTGAGACCTCAGTTTTGGCTGCAATGACATCTTTTTGCTTATTTTTGGTTCTCAGCTACTTTACAAAGAATTGAGGTTGTCAGGGAAATAAGCACTTTTATATTTAAAGTGTGAACTCTTTTTGAATGGCCTGTCCACTGAATAGTCAGCCGCCTTAGCCTGGGCTCTTCCAGAGAATCAGTACATACAGACGATGCATTAAGGAAAGAAGACTGTTTCTGAAAGTGAATGCTTAAGAATCTCAACTGAGTTGTTCTTTCAAATAGATCTTGGGGCCATTTGTTTTTTCCTATGGGAAAATGTCTCAAATTTAATGATGAACACAACTTGATAAATAAAATGGCATTAACACAAAAATTTTCATAAGTAATCTAATATATATTTGACATAAAGATTACGATAGTTTGAATTTTAATCTCAGATCTGGATGGCTATTATAGCCCTACATTTTATATGAACTATAGTTTGGTGCATATATTTTAGTTATTGAACCGATCCCTTGAATGTTATTAACGAAATTGTAACATAGGCAGCTTGAGAATATAAATTATAGTGCATTTGATATACAAAATAAAACCTCATAAATAGCATTTATTAAGAACATTCAAAAGACATTTTCTGACTGTGATTATTCAGGAAAAAGTATCCATTTTCTCTTTCTCTAGCTAATCATTTCTTCAAATATATTGCAAATTAACAGTATTAATCCATTAGGGGACAATGTTCAAACTGTGTGAGAAAAAAATATTTTTTAAAGTACTCTGGGACATTTTAAAAGCTCTTATTTACAGCAAATGATTGACATCCTAATTTTAAATCTTTCTTAACTATTAATTTAAAAGATCCCAAAGGAAATAAGGTGATAATCATTCAGCCTTATTTATTAGAGTTACTATATCATTAAACGTCATTAGTCAATTAATTTTCTTTTTAAAAATTTTATAATTGAGACTTTTTACTAATACATTCTGATATTCCTTCCTTAACTATGCTAAATTAGTACAGATTTACTAAATTTGCAAATATAAATATTTTAGTACGTACGCTATTTTAATGAGATAAATTCCTTAAATACTAAATACTCACAGCAACAAATTGGTTATTTTCTAATTTAATGATGTCTCCCACTTTGACATTCATCCATTTTTCATTCTGCAGTCTAAGAACAAAAACAAAATTAATTTTTTTCAGGAACAAAGAAGAACAATGGAGCATCATGGCAGAAGCAGCAGATAAAACTTCTTTCTAGACTCTAAATTCAAAGGATCTTGTATAAGTATAACAAAGTCTTTATCAGAGTGATGTGGGAACTAAGGCCCAGAGAGGTCAAGGGATTTGCCCAAGGAAACCTGGGGCTAAACTCAAAAAGCCCAACTCTTGGCTTAGTGCTGTTACCACCCCACAAGGTGCCAGTTTTTTACAACAGCTGTTAACACTTACTTGCATATCCTTGGTCAGAACGTTAAAAAAAGAAAGTCAGGGGTGGGGAGGAGGGGAATATATTCAGTCATTAACATTCTTTTCCAACTATATTCATAAGCATAGAAACATCACTGTTGTTGTCTCAGAAGTCTGCTTAACTGGAGACGAGACGTGAAGGAGGAGACAGGCAAGGGAGAGAGTTCAGGGCTAATATGCAAGCAAGAGGAAAAAGAATAAAAATTTTGGAAAAGGCAAGAACAACAATAGGTGACAAAAGGAAGACTGACCCAGAAAGATCACCTACAAGTCATCCAGAGCACGCTGGCCACAGCACAGCTTGGTGGCATTCAAACAGCTAGGACCAACAGCTCAGAACTGAGAACACAGCCAAGATGCTGCACTGTTTTTTTGTTTTTTGTTTGTTTGTTTGTTTGTTTGGAGGCACATGTATATAATGGAGCCCCAAGTCTACCCTTGGCCAAATTCAAAGGGTTTATGACAAAAAGCTATTGTGTCTCGTTGGTCAGGCCCCGCGGGGCTATCTGGAAACAAACCACCTGTGGCAGTATCCGTGATGTTAATCATCCCTTCTGAAATTCCCTGAAACGTAAACCAGCTTTGTTTCCCAAGTTGGAAAACCTCTTCACACTTCTTTCTCAGCGATTCCCTTTTAGGAGAGAAGGTTGGGACCTGAGAGGAGTAGGGCAGGTTCCCCAACAAGTTAAAGTGGACAGGTTAATTTCATGGTGCAGTTTTTTAAAAACAACCTAATTTACTTGTTTTATAAGCTGGAAAACAGTTTTAAATATTTATACAACCATGAAATATGCCTCAACACTATCAACCCTGCTGGGTCATTTGGCTTAAACAGTCAAAGAATTTTTCTTTAATACAGATCCAAGTACATGCTGTTCTGGAAAGTTTTCAATCGCAGCATTTTCATCTCCAGCCAGAATTCAATCATTTTTCCAATGCCATACTTCTCTGCACTTTATCTAGTTCAATGAAAACAAGAGAACCTAGGATGCCTTTAAATCTCATTTTATTTATTTTTACAGGTATGGATAGATTATGCGTGGGCTTATTTCTTCTGGGGGGACCTTCTTTGGAGCATTTATGACTTTCTCATGGGACAGCATCTCAGATAAAAAACCATGTCAATGGACCAAGACGGAGTCCAAGTCTTTCGTTACAGAAACTGCACCGCTACTGAATTGCCCTGAAGTCTCTACTGAAAGTGCATCTGCTTCTAGGAGAAGCTGAGATGATTCTAAGTCTCATTTCCAAACTCCTATTCCTCCTACCTGTATACTGTAAGTTCTAGGAAGGGACCACATCCTACCTCTTGCATCCAAATGTAAAAATCAACCCAAGTGAAAAGAAATTGCTACAGGATCTCTTACACATTTTTAAAGGCACATTTGAGTTAAGTCTGCACAGGTAAATAACAATAGCCACTATTTAGGGGAACAAACCAAAACCTGAGTTTTCTTACTTAAATTCTCACTTATTTTTCTCAAATTTAGTATCATAATATTCCCCCCAGCTCCATAAAAACCAAAACAATTGGAAAGGTGTTTTTAAAGGTCTGGGGGTATCCATGGGAATCACTTGAATTAACTGCTACACCTGGAAAAACATTAGAATAAAAATCTCTTTAAGACAAATATTTACAAAGCCCCAAAGCATGCAAAGAATCCCAATATGGAACAATCTGATATGCTAAACATAAGTTCTATTGGGACAATACAGAAGAGTGATAAGGCAGAGAAAAACACCTTTCCTCGTGCTCCTCCTACCCACACCCCATTTGTATTTTACCCTCTACTTTCTAACTTCTTAAACATTTCCAAAAGTAGAAAAACACTTAGAATAAATCATTTGATCATCCTTTACTAAGATCTGATCATGAATCTGCTAATGTCATCCAAGAGGCCAAGGAAACAGGGAATACCTGTAATACAATTTACGAGCCCAAGCTCCCTACTTCATCTTGCTCTACTCCTTTTTCTCTCTTGCCACCTGCCTGCCCTCTGCCCAGAACATACCGTTAGGATCTCCGCTTCCCAAAAGGCTCCTTTGTTAACTCCAGGTATCTTCCAACACCTACTCTATCCGCTCTGCCTATCCCAATGGAAAGTCCTTCCCTAAAGAGGAACACTCCAAATACTTTGCTTCCAAAGCCCATGACTAACAGTATGTGAAATCTTAAAAACTGTCTGGCACGTGCATGTACAAGTTTCACAGGACACATCAACTCTGTGGGCGATGAGCTATAGAGAACTTCACCAGACAACAGTGTAGTTTGACACATTTTTCTGAACTTGAAGCAAAGTACTGTTGTGAAGATACCCAACCATGGGATTTTCCTCAAAGGAAATATTATCCAAAACTAATTAGCAATCTGGCAAGAGCCAGCAAGTGGTCTTCCCTGGATGTTGACCCTGACCCTAGCAGTATCCAGCTACCTCATCAGTAATGTACACAACCTACTCACGGACACATTTGTCAGATTTGTAGACAGCGTCCTACCAAGAAGAGCATAACCCTTACAAAGAGAGATTATGATAGAAAGGCATCTTATGACTTGATGAGGTTACCAGGAACTGAAAAGGAAGTACAAAATAGATTATTTTAGAGAGAGTCACAACACTCTACAGCTGTAATTAGGGTTCTGAAGGAAAAGGGCCTGGAGATACTGATAAGCTATGTGCTGTGTGTGATGTCTTGGTTAAGCTTCTTATTTGAATATGTATCTGCAGAGTAATCAATGTGTATAATATAATCAGAGGAGTTTTTTTTTTAAATGTCATTTCCTACTCTGTCTTACCTGTACTTAAAATCGTAACTGTACCTAGCTAGGACCTCAGAGACATACTTCCATGAGCACTAAGGGTCATAGCTACAGAAGTACCCAAACTCACTGAACAAGAATAAACTGATAAAGATCTGCAAAGGAATTTAAATCAAATATATTTTAAATCCCACCATTTTTCTTTTCCTACTCACAACCACTACCACTGACTACATGACATCAAAGACATATTAGCAGGACTAGAGGGACAAATAGGAAAATTTCCTTTAAAGCTCATCTCCAAAATATTTCTAGACTTCTAAGATTTTAGCTTGCATTTTCTCATCATCCTGAAACAACAAAAACAGACGCTCCCTGGCTCTCCATGTGTGGTGCAGCTGTTCTCAGGGCTCATGGTTGAAGCAAGTTTGCAGTGGAGCTCTGAGGGGAGCACAGGATGGCCTCACGGGCTATGACAATGACACTGGTCCATAGACTCAACATCTTCAAACTTTGTTTTTACCTTTGTTAAGAAAAAGCCCTCGTGCGAGGGGAGGGTATAGCTTCGTGGTAGAATACGTGCTTAGCATGCAAGAGGTCTTGGGTTCAATCCCCAGTACCTCCATTATAAATAAATTAAATAAATAAATAAACCTAATCCCCTGGCCAAAAAAAAAAAGAAAAGCCGTCCCACTCCAGTAGAGGATTTGCAGTACATAAATATTCTGAAAGGAAGTTAATTCATGTAATTGCACTAAATCAAGAAATTCTAAGATTTTAAAATATGCTTCAATTTTCAGTATCATCATGTAATTAATTGCTTCAGGTTTTGAAATGAACATACATCTAGCTGATGCTTCCTTGAACCAAATTTTTCAAAATAGTTGGGGTAGTAAGTTAGCCTTTACCTTATGTGAGCTCACAAGCCACTCACTACATAATAAACCAAAATTCAAGAAAATGACTCATAAAATTTAAATTCCAAAGGTACTACCTCCCTAAAGAAAGGAGAGTGAGCTAGCACCAACCATGCTCCATGTCACTGCGCCACTGGCTCCAGAGACTTGAAATGATATATTTACCTCGAGCAAGATACAAGCCCATTGCTAAAACTTAGGGACAGAAGGAGGAGATCCTCACTGGTCTTCTCCAGGCTCCTGTTATCCTTTCCACAATCTAATGTTCCTGATTGCCCATTAGCAACACTAATTCCTGAACAGAGGACTTCCCCCAAAGCTACAGAAGCGATGTTGGGGTACTAGAGACAGAAGATAAAAAAGAAGGGCAATATAATTGACTTCACTTCATTTACCATACAATCCACATACATTCTTCTCAAGCCTACGTCAGATCTATAACACACAAAAGCATTCCTCTGCTCAGGCAGACTTAGTCTCATTCACCAGTGTATCCTTGGGACCTAGAATAATGTCTAGTTTATAGTAGGCACCCAGTATTTGTTGAAAGAATAATTAATTAATTAATTAATTAATTAATTTAGAATCATTATTCCCAAAAATGTTTGTTGAATGATAGCATTTCTCTGAATGTCTAACAAGAACCAACAGTTCATTTGGTGCTAACGTATTCCAGGGACTGTGCTGATCCCTTCATGTATAGGATTTTTGCCAAATAAAATTGTAACACCCAATTAAATTTGAATTTCAGATAAACAACCAGTAATTTTTAGTTTGTGTCCCAGGTAATATTTGGTATATAGTTACACTAAAATCTCATCACTGTTTACTGCACTTCAAATTTAACTGGATGTCCTATCCACATTTGCTACATCTGGCAATACTATTCCTGTATCTTATCTCATTTAATCTTCCCAGCAACCCTAGGAGATAGATACTGTTGCTACTCCCATTTTAGCAACTTTACTCAGATTAGAAAACTGAGGTTCAAAGAAATTAGGACTTTTATCCTATTGTGCAATATAT